CCGGCTCTGGGTTCTGTTCCTGCCACTGACAACCGTCTGATTAATGTACAAGGAAAAGCATGAGGAACCTGGAGGGGAGCTCATTATTTGAGCTCACAGCTGGCCTGAGGGGAGATGGGTTTACGTGTGGTTGTGGAAGAAAGGCGGTGGGGCGTGCGCGAAGGACCGAGGCAGCCTTAGAGAAGGGAAGGTTATCCTGAGAAGCAGCGGATGTGAAGGGGACAAATTTCACTCAGAACAGAGATTCGGCAGGAGGACGGTAGGGTTTAACAAGCTCTCCAGGCGATTCTGAAGCACACCACTGTTAAGTGTTTCAATTCATAATACACCTGTGCTTCGTTACTATCAACTTTAGGAAAAAAGCCTGTGTGTGAAATTTATGTCAATAACACTGAACTCACAGGTGCATAAACAGTAAACAAGGGATTATCTTTACTGATGGGAAAGTCACAAAAGTCTGCCTCAAGGATGTAGGCTATACCTTTGAGATTGGTACCATGTAGCTCATAGATGCAGATTATGATCAAAGGACTTTAAAATTCAGAGAAAAAAATTAATTCCATTCTTCACCAGCCACTGGTTCCCAGAAGTAAGTATGAGTGCAAGACTTTTAGCCATGAAGAGGCCAACCTTTCACAATCCTTGGATCTTTCTTGGAGCCTAACTTTCCACCCATCCCCACCCCCTTTCCCCAATTATCCCTGTCATCTTTTAAATTTCTTAACTAGTGAAGTTTCTTAGGAACCCAAAGGAGAGCTGCCTAGACTTAAGCAAAAATGCTGAAGGCTTAAAATAAAAATAACCTGTGGCTTATTGGTCATTCAGATAAACTCCTATAGCTTCTTTTTCAAACTACCTCCTTCAGAAATGGCTTAATTGGGGGCTAAATGTATGTATAAAAGAGCAAGTAAAATTCTTTCACGGAAGTAGTTAATATGCCTTGATGTGTAACCGTACGTAAATCAAAAACACTGTCTGCTTAATTTTAAAACTTTTCTGGTTTATCTGTTATTAGAGATATAAGACATAAAATGGCCCTGTAAACTGCTTCCCATCAGACTGGCTAAGCGAACGCTTCCAGGACAGAATCTCCATGTTTCTCCTCCCAGCCCCAAAGCTTCAGCAGTCATCTAGTGAGATTCTGACCAGTACTGAGTCACGGGCCTCTATGTTTTGCGTTCAGTGTCCACGGATCACTGATCCTATGCTGTGGATCAAAAAAGTACAGCTTCTTTTCCTTTGCAGCTGTGGTCGGAACATCTTGGTAATTTGCATTCCTATCTGAGAAGAGTGGAACGAAGGTTATGTGTGGACACGATGCTAGTTTTGGGGGATGAGTTCCTGATCTGGGATTGGAGCTTGCATGAGTAAGGCTGCACAACAGGGCGGGACCGATTCAGAGGCCTTCACATTTTCCCTAAAACAGTACTTGCTCACTCTTGTCTAACACAAAATTCAAGGCTAGAGTCAAGAGAAGATGGGCCTAAGTTCTTAATGCTCCCATTCAATAGCCTACCTGAAATGCCTATCACGCGTGAAAGAGGTCTCTGCGCACTGCCTCCAGATTCTATTAAGAGCAACAGGACTTAGATCTTTAGGTATTTTAGTCGTCTACAAAAACAAGTATGTCAAGTTGGTTAACCCACCAACACGTTCTGTGTATCTACTACCCAAACTAGCTAAACTAAACAGTATTTTCTGATGAGTGTTTCCCAGGATTTGTGCCATCTTTACTCAGTCAAGCATTAAATTACCACCTATTTGTTCTGAACTTACAAACATCCAGTTGATACATAAAGACAGAATTGTATCAGAGGCATTTATCTGTTCTTCCTGGTGAAGGAACCCAAAATACCGCTGGCTGGAAGGTGAACTCCATCCCTGTTTTGAAAACCACTGGATGCTCTGATACTAGGAAATGCCACATTCATAGCTGCCTTTGAATTCTCTTTTAACTCACCAAAGAAGTCACTAGCCTGAATAGTAGGATTATTGGAAAATAAGCAAGAAGCAAAAAGCATGCAATGGACACTTACATTTCGTTTCAGATCTATTAAGCCAGCCTGTAGCCAATCTATTTCTAATTGGAATTCGCATTACCTGAGCACACACTCACTAGCAATATTGGATGACTAGTTTGGAAATGGCCAGTCTATCCCAGCCCTGTCAGTTATGGATCAGGCAGCAGTGAGTGCGTAATAGAGATATCCCTGGAGATGAAAGATCTGGGCTCTGGGCCAACATTCTTCACTGATTTACCACAAGACCTCGGAAAATTCCCTACATTGCTCCAAGATGCTTTCCCAAGAGTAAGAGAGAGAAAAGTAACTGTCCTGGATATATAACTGTCCTCACTTACTATAATGTTCAAATGAGAAATTGAAAATGTTTTATAAAACTGTAAATCAGCTTAGCCAAAAATCTTCTGAAGACAAGACAGAGACTATGGATACATTTTAGTCTAGTATCCTCATTCCTAAATGCATGATTTGGCCCAAAAATAATTTTAAAAGAATTAGAAAAGTAAAATCACTTTTTAAAAAAATCAAGACAAGCTGCATCTTCTATGGTTCAATCCACTGTCAAGTATCAATAGTGACTATTTCAAAGGCTTAGGGATAGTGCACAATTTCAAACAACTTTCTAAGGCATGAATATTAAAGGTAAAAGCCACTAAAAAACTCAGACATTGTGAAATAACAGTTATATAAACAAGGGTACATCACAAAGTTGCCAAAGCTTTATAAAACAGATAAAATAGTAGACATTAAATAGTTTTAATGAATCCACTTCCTTTATTGCAGTAACCTCTGTACAAAGCAGCAACTGCAATACTCAACATTAAAACATTAGAAAAGCATTTGTGTGACAGTTATAGTACAGTATTATCAAAATATTACATTTTCAAACTTAGTAGATAAACATCCACCAGAGCTCAAATCTTTAAATTATTTCCATAGTCTTTAAAAATATGTAATGTCAGAAAGCATATAAAAAGAATGTAAAAGGAAACCTAAAATACAAACGAAATAATGTAACAAATAAATATCTGATTTAATTAACCATTAATCATCAGCTTAACACCACCATTCTCTCCAAACCCAATGAGTATTGACCTATAGGAATAATGAACTGTCAAATGCCATTACATATTTATTTCCAAGTTATCACCAATGATTAGAACTCAAAAAAAAATTTGGCATTAAAATAATCAAATTCAGCATAAACAAAATAAACTAGAATAGCTTCAACACTAGCTAGCATCTCTCAGAATTGCTGAAATTTATTAGAGTACTACAACAACCTTGAAAATTTTGACCCGGTGTCTAGTGTTAAGTGAAAGTAATGCATTTTTTTTTTAAGTGAAAAGCTTCTTACATTATTTCACAGACAATATTACCCTCCCCCCATTATGCATATTTAGATATACTTTATGTACTTTATACACATATGTATGATGCATGACATTTGGTTCCTGCAGTACAGATCACAATGATGGTTTCCTGAACGGGAAAAATTAAAAAAAAAATAATAGTAAGTGTACCTGTGCACATTTCAAGATAGCAGCACTCAGTTCATGCCCTATTATCCATTTAAAAAGTTCAAACACGGTATTGTTTACTGAATAATATGACATTTCTACTGTCTTTCCCCCAGAACACTACAAAACCTGCAATAAATGGAACAATGCTGTGAGTTACACTGTAGGAAAAAAAAAAAACAACCTGGAAAAACAATTACTTCATTTTAACGTTCTGGATTCAAAATTATTATCAGATCTCCACTTTTCTATTCATTTCGTTTATGCTCACGCAGCAAAAATACTGCACTATTGACAACAGTAGTGATATTAATGATATCTATCAAGATTCATGAATTCTGCATATATTCTTCACCACCAGAATGTATACCAATGAACTCACTGAACAGTACTGTAGAGGATGCGTTCTCCATTTCTCACTGAACAGTAACTGTGTGAAGTTACATGCCCTTCAAATGATCACCTTTGTTCTCCGTGAAACCTGTATCTCTCAATCTAATTTTGAACTTATGTTTACTGAAATCAAAAAATGTTAATCGAATGAATCTTGATCACTTTAAAATGCAAAAAACCAGCAACATAAATGTCATTATATATACACATATGCATCTGTGTATGCATATACACATACATACACACATACAGATATGTAGACATATATCCCTTGAAATGTTTTTAGGAAATCGTTCCTTGAATAAAAAATGAAAAACTTCACATTAATAATTGTATATAAAGCTTTTAGTAACAGTACGTACGCACTGTCAAAATTTTACTAGTAGACTATGATGTCAAAACAGACATTCCAAAAGCACAAACTGGCAGTTTTTCTTAACACAAAAGTTTTAAAGTATTAAGAATGGATTAAATTTAAATGTTCAGAATAATCTGTTCAAACCTGAGTATATTAATTAAGACTAAGTGTACTTGACAATCGAATGAATTAAGCCTAAAAACATTTCACTAAGAAACCAGTGGTCCATTTAACCATTTGATGAAATGCTAAATATTTTAATGATTTATAAAGGATGTGTACAGTGGAATTCCACATACTGTTTACTGAAATATTCCACTTAATGACACTGCTTTGTCTAATTTTCCTTGAGAAAAATCTTTTAGCATTTCTTAAAAGTCCCTCAAGATTTGAGAAAAACTAGAAATTAGGACAGATCGCTCTTCTAATAGATACAAATGATTTTGAGGACTTAGGTCTAAAGAATGACAACAGGGGATTTTTCAGCCTGGTATACAGAAGTACTGAATAAATCTTCAACCCTCCCTAAGATTTCAAATAAAAATACAAATAACAGCCAATTAGAGATTTTAAAAAAAGAAAGGTTTATTGGGTATTTTTTCCCTACATCTACATTTTATACGTACCCATACAAACCTAACCTTGGGGTCACTTTTTGGCTACCATTTTTTGTTTATTCTGTTTTTTTTTTTTTTTTTTTGCATTTTTCATTAACTTGCCCTAATTCTCACCTTTAGTATCTAACAGATACCTTTATAAAAGTAATAGAAAACATACAGTACTCAACAGTAATTGCTCAATGGAAGAAGAAAAGCAGTGTCCATTTCATTTTAAGGTGGGAGAGACTAGGAACGAAAATGACAGCTGAAGGCAAAATTTGACATTCTATAGATTTATAAAAGAGGATATATGGATGAAATTTGGTTAATTTCAGAAGGCACCTCAAGGCTAAAGGCTTTTTGTACTCCTTTCATCAATCACAAAATAACACACTTTTATTGCTATTCAAGTAGCAAAGGAAAACTTTACTCTCGTGAGCTTCAGTCCAACAACAAGGAATCATCATCATTCATTAAGATTGAAATACAGAACTGACTAAAACTGAAGTCTCCATATGCGTATCAGTGGCACAACTTCCCTGTGTGCTTTCAAATTAATGAAAAGGTGAAAGAAAAGTCACAGTTCGCCATCGTGATGTTAATGTGTCTTTGAAGATCTCAGTGACTTCACTAGGCACTCAAGTACCATCTGGAGGGCTGTCCACTGTACTGGGGCAGTTAGGAATAGAAGGTAAGGACACTCTGATGATTTCCACGGACTAGGAGAATTGGTGGTAGGTTTTTCGAGAGAGCTTCTAACCAGGCCATATAGAGAGCACTAGACACAGCACCTTTCCGGGCAACTGGAAGGCTCCTGGTATCAAAAAGAGAAAGGAAATTAGGCAATGCATTTAAGTTGAGAAAAATAAAACACAATAAAAATTATATATTGAGTCACTAATAACAGTAACTAAAAAGTACCGTGGTTACACATTATTTTGGAGGCAGGCAAATTGTGAACATGGCGTAGCAAGGACTATATTCATCACTCTTCCCCCTTTTTCATGTTTGAACAAAAGATTTTTAAAATTTCATCTAATAACAGAAATGAACATTTCTATTATCTGCAACACATTTGTCTCTAACATTAAACCTCCCATCCTCCCTTCTTCAATAAGGACAGAATTCTTCTAGGGGAAAGGGATGTTTCTACCTAAACTAAGAAAGCAGAAACCACACATGGATAAAAGAGATTCAAACATAATTAATTCTATGTATTAATTTTAAACTTCTATCTCCTATCTTCTTTCATTTTTATCTGTACGTAGTGGTGGTATAACCAGCTGCTCTATAGAGTGTTACTCTCTAGATTTCTAGGTTTTAACATCTTCCATTACAGATATCTGATCACCAGCAGCAAAACTTGAAATTTCCTGCTGTATTGTTTTTTGTTAATCAAAATAACAATCCTTTGGTATTGCTTTATTTCATCATTTGTCATATTTTTGGAGGCCTGTTTTTTTTTTTAACCTACTTAAGGACTGTGGCTCCATGACGGAGAAAATTTGGGTTCAAGTAATATGTAGCTAATCTGACTTTAGTGAAAGGAAAGCCAGATAGCGTCTATATCCAGTGGAGGACAGAATGTCTGTCAAATTTGTGTGTGGAAATACAGGGGTGCAGATTCGGACGGGAACCATTTTTTAAATTTAATCCCCAAGATAACTTGATGGTATTATTTCTATGAGGATGTTGCCCAGGGTCCATATTTTCTTTTTTTAAGGTTTTATTTTTTATTATTTGAAGTACAATCTACCCCCCAATGTGGAGTTCGAACTCATGAACCCAAAATCAAGAGTCAAACGCTGTGACTGACTGAGCCAGCCAGGTGTCCCACACCTCACACCCCAGGGTCCAAATTTTAACTTGAGGCCCTCATACCCCACATAGGCTTAACAGCTATGCTGTAGTGTCCTTCAAGCCAAGGAATTTTTTTAAAAGGTGGGAAAAAAGATAAAGGAAAAATTCTAAAATAAACTATTAGGATAAAGAATTACTTAGATTCATATAAGCTTAAGATTTTTGTTTTTCTTTCCTCCTACCTTAAATGATTTCTCCATATGCTTAAAGCAAAGTGTATTAACAGAAGTTTTGTTTTTTCTTCCTTATAACTAATTGTTAAGTCATTACTGGGGTTTATATAGGTTCGTACTTGGTATGGAAACCGATCCTAATTGCATTATCATAAAATGGATGCTCAAGAAAACCTCAGTGGACCTAGTACTTACATGACAATGATATTAGCTGTACTTGAATGTTCCTTCAATAATTCATTTAACCTGATCTGCCGGTAAGTCTGCAATAGAACAGGACAAAGTCATTCCTGGACCATTTGGAAAGTGGAATTTAGTGCAGTTCATAGAATTATAAGTAAACAAAAAGAAACCAGAAGAATTTTGCTATAATAAAAATATCTGTCCCTTAATTTAGAAAAGAATTAATGATTTATACACACTGTTCACATACAGACCCAACTTAGAGGAGACACACTGGTTCCTCCCGTAACAAATGACAGTTCTTGATACTTACGTCTTCCTTATTTAAAAAAAAAAAAATCAATGGAATATTAAGGAAAAGCAGAAGAGACAGAATACCTTGGTCTTGTAGAGTTCAAGCTCATTGTCGGTTATTCGCCATGGCTCATCTTCTTTCATTTTATCTGCAATATCTTGCTCTTTGTCATCTTCATGAAGTCTGTATGGCTCAATCATTTCATCAAAAGCTACAATACTTGGAAAAAAAAAAAAAAAACCCAGAAAGAATACTGACCGTTAACCTCAATTTGAATTCCTTAACACTAAGATCTCAAATGCTAAATTAGAACTTGAGAAGTTAGTGTTTTCCATCTATTATGCTCATCTCCATACCCTAATTTATAACCATCACTTCGGCAACTTATCCAGAAAACAGCAATCGCTAGTTTCTCAAACTGATAAGAAATTTAGAACTGTATTCACAATAATAAAATTGCAATTTCAAGTGCTCACACTCACCTCTCTGTATTTACCCCCTGCTCCTATGCCCACCCCCCTCAACCTACATAAATTTTCATCACAGTAGCTAACATGATCCTTTTGAGCAATATGTCAAATTGTATTGCTCCTTTACTCGAAATACGCAAGAGTGTTCCTAGTTCAAGTACCCATGAATAAAAAGAGTAGTAGTAGAAAAGGTACTAGAATATTCTGAAGAGAGGAGTGGGCAGATATTGAACATTTAAGAAGATGCAGAATTAATCTCTAGATCCAAAGATACTTAATAAGATAAAAGACAGTAAAAGAACATCAAAAATATTCTAATCCTCTATGAATGTGAAAAACATTTTTCAGTATCAAGTCTCATACAAAGTTCCTGGTATATATTATTTTATAAAAGGAAACAAATCCTTCCCTGGTCATAACCTTACAAAGCATACCTTATTATTTTCTATTTAAATCTTTATACCAGCTTCATCATTTATTCACCATTTATTTGAGAATAATTAAAATTATGCCTGGTAGTATAAATATGCACATAATTATAATATCCTCTATATACCATTTTCAGGTGGACTATTCCATAAGTATACTTTGACTCTTGAGAATTCTGAAGGCAACTATTATAGGCAAATTCTTAGATTCTCCTATTTTAGTAATAAAGCAAAATAGTAAGAAGTAATAACATGGGGGAGGGATTGAGTAGTGGTAACGAAGATAGGCATGAAAAATCGAAATTTAAAGAACCACGTGGAATTTCTGTGGCATTAGGATTTTCAGAAATTACTTATACAACAGTAGTTGAATTCTCTGAAAACTGAAAGCCCTTTAGACTTACTTTGGTATCTGCTATAAGCATGCCAACCGTCAGTGCCAGATTAAAAAGAGTTGACTTCACATATAACTAACAGCAGGCAAAACCCCAGGTAATCAGTTTAGAATGATCTGTTACTAGAATATCTGAGTAGGTCACCCAGAAAAGGATCAGAAATCTGTGAAGAGTAATTTATCCAACAACTTACTTTTCTTTCTTTGGTTTAGTATTAATATCTCCTAAGACCATGATATCGGAGAAGTCTATCCGGAACTTGCTAAGCAAAGTAGCCATCCTAAAACAAAAGGAATAGCACTGAGATACACGAAAGCTGTATGTAAGTATTTTTATTCTGTTTTGGGCTGAATCAGTATATCTGAAAAAGCATGATTTATAGGCAAACTGTCTCAGGTGCTAAACAAAGTCCATCTGAATTAATTCACATTGTATGTTCAACTAAGTAGACATCTAAATTCCCTGAGTAGAGACTCCTGTTACATTCTTTTACTTTCTCTGAATCTCATCTTAGTATCCAATAATGAATGGGTAGAGCAAGACATTAATAATGAAATCTGAATGGCAACTAGTTTTTAAATTTAATTTTTGTCACGGGGAGTGAGAGAATCAGACCTCCAGTTCCAGAACAAACAAGCCGCGAGGCCAGAAGGTACAGCATGGGGCAGAGAGTCAATGGTATTTACTCGTGCTGTATGGTGACAGATGGCAGCTCCATCTGCAGGGAGCAGCATGACCCACAGAGGTAATGAATCTCCATGCCGTACATCCGCAACTAACACAACACTGTGCGTCAGCTCTACTTCAGTAAAGACTATTTTAGACAAATTACATTGCTAAGTATATGGATTTCAGCAAAAACTAGTAAACACTTGGAGTTTTAATTATTTTTGGATTACTCTTCCACCCATGAAGAATGCGTATCTCAAGGTCTAAATAGGACTTTTTGGGGCCGAACTAAAGCTGTAACTGATGGCAAATGAATTTCACAGAATTTCTGCGGGGGGGGTCTGGGCTCCAGTAAGCCTCTGAGTTTTCAGGAAAGAAACACCTTTTTGGAGGCATAGCAGCTGGCTGTGAAGCCTTGGCGGCAACAACAGAAAAGTGGAAACATACATACAGGAAAAGCAGTTAGCAAAATAGGATTCTATCTTTAATAGAAAGAGTTTTCTAAATTAAGAAATTAGAAAACACACCAGCTACAGGTTTAACTTTTAAATCATTTCTAGTATTTCTTGCATATTTCTTGTTTGAGATGAATGGATATTCCTCTGAATTCCACTATAGATCTACTACGTGTCTATGTGTCAGGGCCCACAAAACTCAAATCTAAGAGATGAAAATAAATACAAAACGAGCTCCAGGACACAGTGAGTGGACCAAGAACCCTGTTATTCAGGAAGGATGGGTAACAACTATGAGGAGACAAGGGTAAAAAAAAAAAATGAGGGAAGCTGTTATGAAGAAAGTGATAGCAATGCTGGACGTGAAAGGATGCAGTACTGCCACAGAGAAGGGAGGCAAGTGAAGAGCTATTTCTAGTAGAGAAATATATCAAATATGCACTGCACTATATCAAATATATACTGTACTATGCTGTAAGTAGGAAGGAGTATGAGTCTGAAACCACATGCTTTTTTGGAGCAGGTGCAGAATTGTAAAATGAAGTATAAGGCAGAGTTGGGGGAACACGACAGACTTTCTATGGTATGTAACAGAGAGGAAATTAAAAGTATTTTGGGCAGAGGAATCATATGATCAGAGCTTTGGTTTTCAAATGTGAACTCAGGAGCAGTGTGTACAATATATGCTGAAAAGGTCAGAGACAAGATACAGGGTACTTAGCGAAGCGCTGGAACCAGAACTAGAATGGTGACAGCACAGCGGAAATAAAGACAGTGGGTGACAAATGGCATCCTGCGTTTCTGTTGTCTTCAAGTCTACAAAACGTATCTCACATATGAACATGTAATTTGGGGGCACATCCCCTGATTTTGTTTTAAAAAGGTGCTTAACATTCCAATGGTCCAAGTTTTTAATACTTCCTAAAATGTCAACATAGGAAAAAATAATAGGTATCAGTAACACTAAGTACCCACAACTTAAATGTGAAGACTAAATTAAAGAGAATGCAGTTTTATCCGTTTAACTAGAATTTTTAGCTTTAGTACAGAACAGGGCAACATGACTGACATTTTCTGGATTGTCTGTTTTATCCTATCAAATATATACTGTACCATACTGTAATAATGAAATAAATACCGTAATAAGATAAATGCTCTTCAATTTAAATAGACTTACGCTCTCCGGTCATGGTCTATTCGATTTATTTTCCCACCAATGAATACTCTGATCTTACAGTCTTTCCACTTTTTCTTGGTAGTCAGAAGATAAGGTATCAGTAAAGTCAAACCTGAATCATAAAAATATAAAAAATCATTTACTAGATGCTAATTTCTCAAGTAAGAACCTTTCATTCAATGTAATCTCTAAAAACATGTTTACTACAGCTCAATATCCAACACAATTTTTCTTTCCGTCCTTCCTTAAGAATTCAGTCAAAAAGCCATCAGGTAGGCCTGAACAAAGAGGACAGCCCAACAGAGTCGGGCTATGTGAGGAAGGCGGTGAGGTGGGGAGAGTGGCCCGGCAGAGTCAGGAGATCAGTCACATACAGGAGGAATGAGGGAATGAGAGAATTCATTGACCCTAACGGGGGCCAGGTTTCTCACTGAAATGAGAAATACAAGAAGGGAGAAGCTGGACTGAAGCCCGCAGTGTTGAACTGGAACTGGTTTTCAATTTATACCTACACGTACAAACATATACGTGTATGTTTCTAAGACCCGTCCACTGAGAGAACCTGGGGGCGCAGGGACACCCTAGCAGCAAGCCTATTTAATGCCATGATCATTGTCCCTAAATACTATTCTCTACTAAAAGCAATCCGGGCTCCTTGGGTAGATGGTGATTCAATGGCTGGTGTAGGCAAAGTGCAAAAGTGAGCCTAGAAGATCTCATTATATCAGAAAATAAAAAACAACTGGGAAATGACAAATGGACATACAAGTTAGCCTCCACAGGATCTTGCTGGCCAAATATGGGAACAATGTGAACATCAAAACAAATCATGAGAATGACAAATCATCTCCTACTGAATATAATGGGAATCGATGAATCTGCAAGGATAAAAATAAGGAGAAGGCTCTTCCTTACAATAAAATGCCAACTAATAAATGAGGAAGAATTAACAGGATTGGAAAATCATCATCTGACAACCACAAACATACCACACCAACAGTAAAACAAGAGGCAAAACTATCAATGGATGCTAAAGATGGTGGGTGATAGAAGTTGCAGTAACAATGGTCTATTTTACATAACCCCAAAGTACCTCCCCATCCCCTAATATGTGTAACTACACAAGGGGAAACGGTCACTTTTTATTCTCAAGATCTAGTGAAAACCACCTTACTGAGTGGATAGTTAACTTCACCAGTGATGAGGCAAATCAACATTATGTGCCCCTGATGAGATACAGACAGAAGAGCAAGGCATCACTTCTGTGAGATTTCTACCAAAATGACATGACTTGAACCAGTTATAATGAAAGATCAAATGGTACTTCAAATCTAGTGACATTCTAAAAATGGTCAGTCATATTAAAAAAAAAAAATGTTAAGGTCATGAGCACAAGGAATAACCAGTCAACTTCCAAAGTGAAGGACACTGAAGAGGTAACAATTAAGCCCGACACCTGATTCTGTAATCAATCCTGTTGCTTTGGGGAATGTTGTCTAGGAGAGAAGCATACCTGCCATTTCTCAGTATTATTCTCACAACTTCAGTATTATGTAAAATTGCTAAAAAGCATATTAACAACCTTACCTCCATCATCAAAAAGCCACCAGACATCAATAGTATTCTTTCCTTGTTTTTTCTGAAACTGTGTACTAGCTTCAAGAAGCTTTTGGTCAGCTACATTTAAGGGCACAGCAGGGCCTTTGGATTCTAAAGGATTAAGCAGAAAAATAAGATGTAAGGGAGATAAAATTTTCAAGTCCCTTTTGCTGAATTCCTATTGTTTCCTAACTTTTGTGTATTTAAATGTTTATAATGCAGATAGTTATATACCGAGTCTATCATAAGCTTTCAGTTGTTTAAAATTTAAATGTACTTTAAAAAAATGGTTACAGATAAATATATCTTTACAAGAGCTAAACTCATCCAAATTATCTTGCCTCATTTCTAATAATTTGAAGCATTGTGAATGAAAGAGAATCATAAATACCAATCAAGAAAATTATAACTGACTGCTAGATTTTAATTTTTGAGAAACAATTTTAGGCTAAGTGGACAAATTAAGTTTATGCCTATTCCATGAACATATTTCTTTTGTAATGTGGTTCCTCAATAATATAAAGATCAAAGAAATTTCTTACACATAATGTTGCTATTAATAATATAAAAGACAGAAGGAAGTGGAAGACAAATGAATACAATCTAACGATTATCACAGTGAAACCTCCCAGTCTAAAGAAGGACACCCTCATCTTGACCTAACTTGTCCCCTCAGTATGCGATGCCCAAAGAAAAAGCCATATAATGACACATCTTTCTTTGAAGCACAGAAAGATGGTAGGAACTCCTTGGAAGGGCACCGTCTCCTGCAGGTCTCAAGAACAAAATACCAAGGGAGTTCCCATTTATATTCCCAGGAATTAAAAAATTAAAAAAAAAAAAAAATCAGCACTGACTCTATGAGCAAGCAAATGACGATTATGAGACTCCTACACTAAGTTTTTAAAAGCAGGAATCCACAGGAGGAAGCCTGGTCACTTCTGCAGGATGTGTCATTCACTTCTCACGCTGCCATGATGCACGCAAACGTAACGAATGATTTTGCATGATGACACAATATGGCTGCCAAACCACACTGCTCCGTAACTCTCACCTCTATCTCCTTCTCATAAAAGTCATGCACAGGGACATGACTGTGTATCTCCCAAACGCAGCAGGGCTGTGAGAAATATTGTAATTTTTGAAATGAAAAATATATTAGTATCAAAATTAAGGGCTTGGCTGGGAACAACTGATGGTAAAGAATGCAAGTGACACGGGCAAAGACCCATTTCAGTGTCTCTGCTTATCATCTGAACCATGCAGTTTAAATTAAAAAAAGGCAATATTGACATTCAGGGTTGGAGTATTTCAGAAATGCTATAATGATTTAAAATAATTTGTCTTTGATATAATACCTTTCCTTGGGATGATTTAATTTTTTTAGGTAAACTAAAGATTTTTTTTTCTAATCTGCGTTCAATAAATAACTGTAACATCACCTCGCCATGGAAATAAAAACTCAGGTAAAAAAAATAAAATAGCAGAGTTGGAGTTAAAGAGTTAACAGTATGAAAAAGGGGATTAAAATAAAATGATGAAAAATGCCTGCCTTTTTTCAACAGTGGTTGAGTTGGAGTCTTGCCATCCTCTTCCTCATCTAGATTATGTTTAAAAAACACAAAATATAAGTTAATTGCTTTTATATTAATAAAATAATGAAAATGTAAATAGAGCACATTTATAAACAAAGCACAGTATGAAGAGAGAGTCTGCAAAAAATAATCAAGACTGAAGATAGATATTTTCTACGCTGAGTGTTGAGGATTTTTAAAAAAGCAAACATATTTTTAGACCCTCTCCAAAAGGGCCACTGATTAACACTCACCCCTAAATTTTATTCCTATGAAACTGATAAAAACGTCAGCAGGATTTTTAAACTTTTAAACTTTCATACTTGAAATCAGTTGAAGAGATTCTGACCTATGGCTTATAGAATAGAAATAGGACATTAAGAACTGACATTGCAGATAATACATAAATTTTAATCAGTGCCACTGCATCGTGGTGCAAATGACTGAAAAGTAATTTTAGAAACACATAATGGAATCTGGTATTTTTAAAATTATTCACTTGAAATAATAAGGAATTTGATCAGAGACAGTCTTTTGCTTCATTTAAAACACCAGGTTATACAGGCCTACATAAATTTATATATATATGTGTGTGTGTATATATAAAATATAAGCATATATATGTGTTTATGCATGTACATACATGTGTATGCATGTACTGGACCATCTGTATTTCAGTATCTGTAAGTATTTTCTTGGAGTTAACAGTTTTCCTAATCTCCGTTTTTCTCTTCATATAAGCTGCTTCTAGTTGTGTGAGGCACATAGAATTCCCGACTTGGACAGGGAAGAGTTCACTGCTCTTAAGTCAGTGGCTCTCAGGATTCCAGTATTATTGCCTTTAACTCTTTTTTTGACTATGTGAGCTTGAACTAGTTAACTCCTCACCTTCCTTGTTAGGGAGAAGGATGAAGGATACCTACCTCTTCAGATCATTATGCTGCAAGCATGAAAGCACCCATCTCAGTGCCTAGCACAAAGTAAGGATTCTGTGTGCCCCAATAACCGAGACAGACATACCAAACATCTAGGCTTATATAATAATTACACAGGAATGTTTATAATATTATGGAGACTTTTCAAATTATATAAACTTTTCTACGGTTTCTATGCTAATTTTGAAAATAACTGGCTAGAGAGAAAATAAACACAAAATAAAATGAATGCTATTTTTGAACACTAATTTCTTATGCCTGTGATGGAACAAGAAACATTTCAATGATCACATTTGATTTGTATAGCATTAAATATTATTGTTCTTATGAAGTAGGTATTTGATACTATCTGTCTTTGATGATAATAAAAATATATGGGCACACTGTGTATTCATTTCAAAGAGCTCAAAAAATGTCAAGGAAATCCTGACACTTAAAAATGACTTACACTAAGGTATTTAAAAGTATTAAAGGTATTTACATTTTTATAATAAAAAGGCAAGTAGTTTCCCACTCTGTAAAAATAATGACTTCACAAGACTGTGACACGCAGTCATGAGCTAACGTATGGATAATGCCCACTGCAATGTGGGAGGCACAGAGTAGATGCCTGATGATTACTAACTACTTCTTTCTTTCCCATCCTACTTTTACCTATCAATTCCTAACAGATTCTGTAAAGAAAGGATCTCCTTTAGGAAAAAGAAAATGGCAGTAAAAATAAAAAGTAGGAGGAAATGAAAGCATGTATACCATAAACTAAAAATAAATGCAGGAATGTAAGAACAGTTATCAAATCTTTTATAGAGTTTTGAGATGAAACAGGGAAAAAAAATTATAATCAATACAGCAAAGAACTTAAAGGGGAAATGGGTATCAACTAAAGCCTCAACTACCACTACTCTAAGCATACAAGGTAAGAAAGGAAAGCAATAAAAAGCAACAGCAACACTTCTGCATAATCTGGAAAAGATCAATTTCAAAGAGACAGGATTTGTCGAAGGTAATCAATTTCAGAAAAAGAATGGTAATTCTTTGACAGGAATCAAACAAGTATGATATGGTTTGATGATTTACAGTGCAGATTTTTCCTGTTGCGTGCCAGCTGGGGCTAGGACAGATGGAGATACTGGGCTGATCAGAGGTAGGAGAGTGAGGGTGGGAGAGTAAGATTTGGAAGTCATCCCTCTTTCCGTCTCATAAACATGACATAGGTAGATGGATGAAATTATCTGAAAACCTCATGAGATTTAGAAACCCGTGTGTGGCTTAAAACCAGGGGTAATATGTCTGCAATTACAGCCTAACAGTTCAGTAACCAAATACCAACAACTCGTTCCTTCAAGAGACTAGAATGAGGAATAAAACTGCATTTGATTTTTTATTACATGGTTTTACCTCAACAACTCCAGGTGCAGTAGATGTAAAAAATATTTTGAATATCTTAACACATAAATAAAATCCCTGGTATTTAAATATCTTGATTTATAGAAAAATTAGGTAGATTATTTTTATCAATTTCATTCCTTTCAGGGTTATCTTATGCTCTATTCCATTACTCTCAAATTATCACATTTCTTTCCAAGTTCAGATTTAACCTATGCTTCAAGCGAAACTGCGCGAAGAATAAATAAAAACATATAAGAACATATGAGAGTGTAATTAATTGGCATGTTTTCTATTCTACAATCTACTTTAATACCTGAAAAACAGCTAGTCATTTTGCAACCATCCATTTTACCTTATCAACTAGAAATGAGCAGTACTAATTAGAGAAGGGGTTACTTATTAAGACATGTTATACAATAAAACCCATTTCTCCCAAAATTAAACATTACCATGAATAACATCTCTTGTCTGAATAAAAATTACCTTTGTGTGTAACAGCTTTCTCATCAGATGGTTTTGAAGTATCTAAATCCGATTTTTTACTATACTCCATACTTAGTACCACATCCTTGACGCCAGGAGATTTCTCTTGTGATGACAATAATTCTTCTATGGACATGAAAAGTGATCAAGATGTTATCTAAATCTTGTTTTAACCATTAATGAAAACAACATGGTAATATGAATTAAATGACAATTCACAACAAAGTTTATTATGAAATAGTAAGTTTACAAAAAATGATTTCTTATGTGAACATATGTGATCATCTGTTTTGAAAGGACTATTCACTCAAATATCTTGAGCCATAGCTAAGCATCAGACATTTGAATCAGGTGCTGGAGAATTCATAATGAGTGAGAGTCAAGGAACTTAAGAATGTGGTAGACAAAATGATGTATGAAATGTGAATGAACTCTACTCTCAAAGTCATTTACACATGTAAAAACTGTAAAATGTGACAAATGTTCACATACATGTAAGATGACAGACAACACTGAAAAATTATACTCCGGACTAGAGAGCTGAAGCCAGAGGATTAAGCTCATGGTAAAAGTACCATTTCTTCACTTTTATTTTTTTAAAAGATTTTATTTATTTATCTGACAAAGAGAGCACACAAGTAGGGGGAGTTGCAGAGGGAGCGGGAGAAGCGGGCTCCCTGCTGAGCGGGGAGCCCGATGCAGGGCTCGATCCCAGAACCCTGTGATCACAACCCAAGCCAAAGGCAGATACTTAACCAACTGAGCCACCCAGGTGCCCCCATTTCTTCATTTTTAAAGTACTTTTCCCATTTTCTATCTTTTGGGAAGGAATTAGTAAACAGTTAACTTCCACCATAAAAACATGCGTCACAAAGACAAACACATATATGAAAATGGACCATGCACACATAATCCTCATTGCTGATTTGGGTGTATCATGAGAAAGATCAAGAGAAACAACATTACAAGAAGTACCAACACTATGCTAAGAACCTCACAAGCTGTGTCTTTACAACAACCCTTATGAAGTCAGTATAATTTGTTTTGGTTTTTTTTTTAAGTTTTATTTAAGTAATCTCTATACCCAATGTGGGGCTCGAACTCATGACCACAAGATCAAGAGTTGCATGCTCTTCTGACTGAGCCAGCCAGGTGCCCCAGTGATCATGTCTGAAGAGATGAGGAAAAGAGAGGCTTGGAAGTCGACAGATACGCCCAGGCTGAAAGACTACCGGACTAAGAGAAAAAGGTGGGATTTTCAAAGGAGATCTGACTCCAAAGCCTCTGCTCTTAATCCTGTGCTGAACCAAATTCCAGTCTCCAAATCCTGATGATGAATAATAAGACCTCCAAAACAACTGTCATAATGATTATAAACACATGAAAATACTTTCTTAAAGTTCTGGTCACATTCAAATCTCAATAAATTACAGAACTATATATATAATTTATTAGTCAAACTGTGAAACTTTTGAGAGTGAAAGGGAACACTACTAATTATGCAGTCTTAAGAGGTACCCTAAACCTCAGTCACTGGTAGTGCAAGAGAGAACTGAAACAGTGTTTTGCAAGGCCTACTCCAGAGGAAGAAAATGCATTTTCAGCAAGCCATACTTTTGTGTTACATGAATAAAGACTTCAAAGCGTTCCTTTCAAAACTGCACAATACCCTTAAAATGGTGGGAGGAGGGGGAGGATTACAACTGTTTAAATACATAAACAGATGACAAAAGTTCATGATGTGCCACTCAGCTATTTAGGCTTAGCTATTTTTGATGATTTAGTTAATTAATTGATAAGTGTAAAATATTAGGTATGCAATTTTCTTCAGCTTATAATATTTGTTAAACTACTAGAAAATCATTAGAGGGTATGGAATTTTCCACAGTTTTTATTAAGGTGGGCAAAAGTAAACAGTACACCTTAATTAGATTTTAAGCTTCATCTAAAAACATTTTTTTTTAAATGCTTTAAAAATTACATAGTTGGAAAAGAGATTAGTGTCAGGGATTAATGATGGCGGAAAGACAAAGAGCCTCTGGGGGCTTAAAGGGGTAGCACAAGGGAGATCTTTGTGGTGATCGAACAGTTCTGTATATTAAATGTGGTGGTTACATGAATCAACCACATGTGTTACATGGCAGAGGACTCTACACATGTTCATGCACACACGCACACACAAGTGTAAGTAATACTACTGGAATCTGAATAGGTTCAGATTCAGTAGGTAAATTGTCCCAATGTCAATATCCTCGTTATGACATATAACGATAGATATGCAAGATGTTATCATTGGGAGAAATCGATGAAGGGTACATAGGACCTGTCTACTATTTCTAATGTCTTATGAATCTATAATTATTTCAAAATGAAAAAGTTAAAAAAATTATTCATAATTCATAAGGTCTTATCTCTAGACAGAGTAAATGCTATCACCAAGTTTAGTTTTTCATTATTAGTACAACTCTGTGTAAAGAAGCATGACCTTCGTGAACATGAAAATGTCTGATGATTTAGCAGTCATTAACATTTTATCCTCTATTTTATTTATCATGTGTTTTTACAAATTTGGCCAATCTAAACCAAAACTAATGCTTGTTTCTCTTAAGCTTTAGATGATTTAGACTGAATTTTATTCTCTCTGTTAGTAATCACCAGCCATCATCCAGGTTGGTACAAACTGGTGGAGCCAAACAGATCTGATCTTCATGTGCCACACAGTAAGGACATGACTGAACTGATGGTGAAGGTTAAAGTTACTGAAGAATATGTGAGAATGACATGTAATTTTCTAATAAAGTCACTTCGATTTTTAAAGTAAAAAACTTATTCAAGCAAGATTTACCTTGTCCTTGAAGATGAGATATATCCAGACCCTCTTTTAGGCGGATAACCACTACTCCATATTGTATGTCAAAGGCGTCACTATAAGAGGGGGAAAAAAATTAAAAAAAAAAAAAAAAAAAAATCACAAAAATGTTTGTCTTCCTCTATAAAATGAAGGCATAAGAGATGATTTCTCTTTCAGCTTTACATGTCTGATTTTTAAAATATGCTTTTAAAAATACAGTGAGGCCTATATGATGTCGGTTTCAAATCCTGTATCATTCCCTTACCTTTTTTCTGTAATACTCTTAAAAACCTCCTAAATGTATATCTTTATAGTATTGATACTCTACCTACACCAGCCATTTAAAAACAGTGCCTGTACTAATATCACATCCTATCAGAAACAAACTAAAATTATAGAAAAATAATGTCAGTTTCCCACCATACTTTATTTAGGCTTGTACCCTTAAAGTCAAGATAAATACATGAAGACAAAGAAAAGACATTCTACTGAGAATGCGAACAGGCTGGAAAGTATAAAGGGATCACTTCTGAAAGGAGTCAGTGTAATTTTTTTTTAATTCTTGAGCCAGTGTGTTTTAAAGCAATTCTTACATTTTACAGAAACGGTTTAATAAGTAGTCCAAAGATTTTATATGCATTTGTAGGCATTATTCATATATCCTTTTTTAAGTTTTTTAAACACACATGGGACATCCTATAACACACACAAAATACATTAAAACCCCAAAGACAACTCTAAAACCACACTTCAGTGCTGGAAACTTTGTTGAGACCATGAATCATGTAGATCCAAGATCTTCTCAAATCTACTGCAAGAATTACAAATTCCTAAACTTCAGGTTGTTCCCCAGAGTGTAACAGGCTTAACTTTTAATCTTTCATTATTATTTTTACTTGTTCTAGCAACGAATATTCATTATATACAAAAAAGTGATACATTATCTATAGTTATATGTAACAAAAAGAAAATGCTAAAAGCTGGAAAAAAAATCAAATTTTGGTTCCTACTGACACACAGAAAAACATGTATCATTGTAATAGGTCTTTTATTGGTGTTTTGTTTTTTTTAAATCATGGGGAGACAATTTTGACCTCATTCCTACAATGAATTAACTAAGGTCTAAAGAGATTCATTGGAAAAAGAAATTAATGGACATATTAACCTACCCCGCTGTATACTGAAAGACCTAACACTAGCGAGGAGTAACTATAAGTATTTAAAAAATAGTTAATAAATCACAAGTGAATTAAAATCGATTTGATTCAAGAAAAGCCAGGGAATACAGATTCCTGAGTTTACTTTGGATTAAAATTGGTAAATGCTTTTGCTATCAACTATAGGGATTTCTATAAGCTATTTCATTTCTCTAAGCTATAAAAACTGATTTGGAGTTTCAGAACTTCCATGTTATCACTAGGCACAGTAAATAAAGTAAACCTCAATTGCTCAAATTATTTATAATCACAACCAAAACTAAAGTGTTACAAGATAAAAGGATAAGCAGTATCATTGTTTTAAAACTGCCATCAATCTCCATGGCCCTGGAAACCCGAGAGCATTATTTTACCTATCATTTAATTGCTGCCTGCTGTACAATACTGAGAGTAACACTTGACTCTCAAACATGCACGTCAGTTCCTACAAGGTCAGAGTCAGAAAGAACCCTTTCTTCCAGTGTTTCCCTATGAGCAACTACAACTAATAGTGTAAAAATTATTTGCAAAAATGTCGCTTTTTCTATATTCTATGGTAATTATTCCACCTCACTGGTCTTTCATCTTGAGAAAGAAAAAGCATAGCCCATGGAGGATGGCCCACATGACTTAATCTTTCTTCTACACTGTCCTTCCTTTCCGAATCCCCAAATATACAAAGTACACAGGTCAGATTAGAAAAGCAGGACGAAATCATGCTTACAAAAAAGTAATAACCCCAAAGCCAAAGAGCAGTTGCAGCACCTGAAGAACCAGCAGAGCCTTAATTTTACTAAAAGCATTTTAAGAATTAACTTGGGAAAACTTATACATTGTACACTTTACTAATCAATATAAAGAGATGTTTTAAAAAGGACAGTATGACATCTGGTTACTCCTTCAAAGTTATTTCAAGGTAGCTATGAAAACAAAACTATCCTATGTGATACAGGTAAGTAATTACGGTTCCAACGAGAGTTCCAGTAAGGGAAATAACTCTTGTGAGTTAAGGGTAATCAGGTCAAACTTCAGAGAAATAAGATTTGAATCTGGTCATAAGAGCTACTTTGCCAAACACAATTTTTTTTTTCTTTAAAAAGGACAATTGTTTGTACATAAAGGAATACTTTGTAAGAACGAATGAACCGTTCTGTTTTACCAGCAGCTGTAATAAGAAAAAACTATTCTTCAATCAAGAATGGTAGTGTGGGGCACCTGGCTGGCTCAGTGGGTAGAGCATGTGACTCTTGATCTCCGGGCTGTGAGTTCGAGCTCCACGTTGGGTGGAGAGATAACTTAAAAAAAGAATGGTGGGGGCGCCTGGGTGGCTCAGTTGGTTAAGCGACTGCCTTCGGCTCAGGTCATGATCCTGGAGTCCCGGGATCGAGTCCCGCGTCGGGCTTCCTGCTCGGTGGGGAGTCTGCTTCTCCCTCTGGCCCTCTTCCCTCTCGTGCTCTCTATCTCTCATTCTCTCTCTCTCTCAAATAAATAAATAAAATCTTTAAAGAAAAAAAAAAAGAATGGTGGTATGATGGACTCTTAGCTATTGAGAATAGAGGGTTACCAGAGGGGAGTCGTGAGGGGGATGGGAGAAAGAGGGGATGGGGATGAAGGAGTACCTTATCAGGATGAGCACTGAGTGATGGAGAGAATTGTTGAATTACTATATGGTACACCTGAAACTAATATAACACTGTATGTTAACTATATCGGAATTAAAATAAAAAACGTAAGCATTTGTGGATTAAACAGATACATTCATAAAAAATCAACTGTAACATAAACAGACTAAAATCAGAAAGAGAAATAAAAAGACAAAGTAACAAAAAAATAAAAAGAATGCATTAGACAATCCATACAAAGGCAGCTGAAGGCATGTAAAACAAAACTATGCTCTCTGATAAATAGCATTCATTTGAAATACCGCTAAGAAGTGAATAGCAGACTCAGAACTTACACTCAAGAGGGTAGAAAAGCAAAGCATGTAAGCACAATAAAAAAAAAGAAATGTAGATGAGCTAATGCATACATCAAACAATTAACTGCAAAATCAGTTTCCAAGGAGAGCAAACCAAAACCTCTGAGGGTGGTATCAGTGATATGCTTTTCTCAGCTCCAGATATTATAATGATGTAACAGAAGGCGAGAGGTCTGACAACACTGGGGAAATCCACTCAGCAATAGCTATAAGGATACGAGAAAGCTTCCTAACTTAAATGGGAAGCCAGCTGATTCTTTTTCATTCTTATGCTTCTACTAGAAGAGACTAATATGAGAAACAGCCTTTACAAACCAGTGAAGGCTTCAAAAAACCAGTTCAAGTTTTCATTTTCTGAGCCAAGTTACTGTGCTAAAAGGATACTTACTGAAACATGTTTATGTACATATCCACATCCCTCATATCTGCTTGCAACCAATCTTTCTTAAATCCGAGGACGAGTGTGTTTGGCTTCATACGCCCAAGACCAGCAGCCTAAAATACAGGAAAAACACAACTTTAAAGATATACTATCCAGCAAAATATTTTTTAAAGGATCAAATCCTCCAAATGGACAGGATATAAACATTTTTAAACTGTACACCCTTAATAAACTATATAGATTACATTGATCACATATTACTTATGCTTAACCATATACAAAAACTGAAGATAAATGCTTTAAAAATTCTAAATGGACATTTTCATACTCATATGATTTGGCAAAATTTCTGTATTTTTAGTAAGAAAAAGATAACAGAATATATCTAATCTTTCATAAAAATCATAATGATACAGTGGTATTCTTAGGTAGATATTTTGATAGCCATTAACACCCAGAAGCAAAAGTCCCAATAGAAGAGAAGCATTATTGGTTGCAGTTCTGAATCACATCTAAATTTTGACTTCTTTCTACCAATCATGCCTAACTCTCTCCTGAGAAGTGGCTAATTTTCTTCCTCAACTCTTCCATCAAAATATTTTTTGTGCAACTTCATCAAGAGTTGCAATTCAATATGCTTAACATATCCCCTAATCCCATGAATCTCTTCTTTTGTAAGATAGTAAAACACAGATTTTTGAACTCCAGTATCTATTTGCAAAGCCCTCTCAGAGCCCCAAACAAAAATTCTCTAGCCATAAAAGAAGTAATTACCTATTTCTTGCCTCCCTCCAGGTCCTGGAAACATCTAATATACTTCTGTCACTTGAATTTGCTTATCCTCAATGTTTCATGTAAGTGTAATCATACAGTGTTTGTCCCTCGTGACTGGTTTATTTAGCACCATGTCTTCCAGGTTCATCCACATTACAGTATCTATCAGAACTACATTCTTTTCTGTGGCTGAATGATATTCCACTGTTTGTGAGTAGCACATTTTGTTCATGCATTCATCTGTTGATGGATGCTCACATTGTTTCCACCTTTTGGCTACTGTGAGAAATGCTATCAACACTGGCATACAAAAATAACAATCTCTTTGGCCCCCTGCTCCAATTTCTTCGGGTGTATGTCAAGGAGGAGAATTGCAGGTCATACGCAGATTCCACACTGTGCTGAGGAACCACTGAACTGTTTCTCACAGCAGCTACAGCATGCTATGAGCCCACCAGCAAGGCACGCATTTCAATTTCTCCACATCCTTGGCAACCCCTGTGATTTCTTGTGGGGGCGCGGGGGCAAGGTGGGGTGTTTTAAATTATAGATATCCTGGGAGTGTAATGTTATCTCATTGTGATTTTGATATGCATTTCCCTAATGACTAAGGATACTGAGCATCTCTTCATGAGCTTATTAGCTATCTTTAGATCTTCCTTGGAGAAACGTTTACTCAGATCCTTAGTGGATTTTTAACTGGGTTGTCAGTCTTTTTCTTCCTGTTTTAGAAGTTCATATATTCTGGATATTAAACTTCATCAGATGTATGATTTACAAGTATTTTCTTCCATTCTGTGTCTTTCTTTCACTTTCTTGATAATGTCCTTTGATGCATGAATATTTTTAATTTTGACTATGTCCAATTTATCTACTTTTTTCTTTTGTTGCTCATGCTTCTGGTGTCATATCTAAAAATACACTGCCAAGTCCAAGGTCATGAAAAATTACCTCTACATTTTCTTCTAAGAGTTTTATGGCTTTAGCTCCTATATCACTGATCTATTTTGAGTCAATTTTTGTGCATGATGTGAGGTCACATTTACGTTTTTTTATTTTTTAAGGAAACTCTACTTCCAATGTGGGGCTCAAACTCATGAACCAGAGATCAAGAGGCACATGTTCTACCAGCGGAGTCAGCCAGGCACCCCCACACTCAAGTTTTTAAACATGACATACTTAAATCATGTTTTGCAAAGATTAAATTAATTCCAGTATATATTAAGTGCTGACCATGGGTCAGACACTGTCCTAAGGACCTGGGATAATTATAAATATTCTTAACCACATAAAACTTAATTCATTCTCAAAACATTCGCTCCATGCACAGGTTTCTTCCAAAAAATAAGATTATTTTCCCACTCAATATTAAAACCACCCACAGATAAAAAAAATAATCAGTACTGTTTTTTATAACTATCTGTTAGGTACGAAGATAGCCACTAACCACAAAGTTTTGTTTTTGTTTGTCTGGTAAAAGAAAAACAAGAAACATCTTTAAGTTTTAGAGCTTTTTTTTTTTTTTTTTTAAAGAACTAAGCCACAAGATAACCAGTAACTTTTTGATGGCACAAAATATTATTATTCTCTTTTTATTTTCTTTTTCATCACAAACTTTTGTCACAATCTTATTATAATTAAAATGTTTTATTTTTATAAAATTAACAACATCCTGCAGCACTCTGTGCTCGTTTCAACTTCATTATTTCAATCACTTTCCCTTGAATGACTGAGCAAAGAAATTTCAAATGTATCACTCATCCCTAAATCCTTTGTAAATCCTAATCAAAGTAGCTATTCAGTCAGAAATAATGTTTTCAGTTTCCATAAAACATCATGTGTTTTAAAGAATAATTTATTCCTGAAAATATGTCTTCTCTGGAACAGATTTCTTTATTGGTTCATAAAAAATCAGTTTTTCATGGAATTCCATAAATGAAACCAATTAGGCAGAATGCAGTCCTTTGAAGCTCATCTCTAGTTTCAAACATTACTGTGTTATTTGTTTCTTTGACTCTGTAGCAATGTTTTCTGTGCGCCTTCCACCACAACTTGCTGATGAGAAATGTGTTTAGTTTGTTAACATATTTTTCTGGACATTATCATAACCATTCTTTTTTTTTGAGGGAGGGATAGAGCACAGAGGGAGAAGCTGACTCCCAGCTGAGTAAGGAGCTCGACATGGGTTTGATCCCAGGACCCTGAGATCATGACCTGAGCCGAAGGCAGACGCTTAACCGACTGAGCCACCCAGGCGCCCCTATTACTAACTGTTCTTACTGCAGCAGAAAGAACCACTTACAACCACAATGGCACATGGCTTTTAGTTTTACATTTCACTATTAAGTAACAACATTTCCAAACATTACGATTATCTATTTAAATGTAGTTAAGTACTGCTGTGAGATTTGTATTACTTTAAAAATCAGTGAAAAAGAAAACTTGTAGAGTTTGGCTTCATGTCCTGGATGGTTAAAATGTTCAGCTAATACTGATGGCTTTAAATTATCATTAGTAATTATTTCATGGCTCAACACAGATTTAGGATGTGGCTATAGAATCTGGACATAATTTATATTTCAAATATTCTTATTGGCAATGTGACATTATTTTGGTCTACTTATTTTAGAATAATTTAAAAGAAATTACTGTTTACCTCAAAATGTGGCTGATGAAGGGGAAGGTGCCAGAAACACTTAGCATATATTACAGAGTACACCTCTAGGCTATTTTTGTCCCAGAAAAGGTAGTTATGTCTTTAATGAGACTCTGAATGAGATCCACTTGATTTAAAGGGCATTCATATTCTGTAATCTGATTTTTAAGTAAGAACAATAGGTTTTTGCTCTTTGAAATGAAGGTTTAAAATTGGATTGACAGTTTAGTGGTTCCTGCCATTAAAAACAGAAAAAAAAAAAAAAGAAATGAAAAATCCAAATACATAAAAGAGTCAGCAGCAGTGCTAATGTGTCACTGCCAAAGGGCTCCTTAAGCAAGCTACTGGTAAGACTGCCTCTTTTTAAAAAAGTGAATCTCAAGTTTTAATGTGGAAGTTGGATACTTAAATGCTAATTTAAAGATAAATAAATGCTTATCATTAGTAACTAGATAAATGAGGGACATAGAAATGAAAAGTTAAAGAGGAAGGTATAGTAAAGCCTATGAAAACCATCTAAAAACAGCATCTCCAGGATAACATAAGTCACTGAAGAAACAAATCAACATACAAAAAACTACTTTGACAAAGATTATAAACCTCTAACAGACATACAGGCATTCGCGGTTTTATGTAACAGATCTCCAGAAGGTACAAAGGAAAGAGAAATACTGCCAGTGACAATTTACACCAAGATGTCAGTGATTAATTCTCCTAACTGTAAGTTTATTTTACACAGACAGCTCTGCTACTAGAATAAAGTCAAGCTCTTGGGCATCTCTGTCAAGTGCTTGTATATGCCAGGTTTATAGGACAGTCTCAGAATACCACTGTTCGATGCATCCCACCTTTGCCCCATACTGCTGAAAGACCCACTGGGTTGAGCATGTTAGCTGGAGAGTGATGGGGATAATGGAACCTAGCTCTCATCAACAGTGTCATTTTAACTGCAGACACCCTTAAAGACAGAGGTCCTCGAAATGTAGGACCTGGACTGTCTGAGGAGCACCTGTCAAGTTACAGAACGGCAAACTCTCTGGACTCATTGCAGACCTACTAAATCATTCCAAAGGTGGGGCCCAGCAGTCTGTTCTAACAAGTCTACCAGGTGATTCTGATGCACGCTCAAGTTTAGGAACCACTGCTCTAAGGAAGTAATTTCCTTCATTTCCAACATAACATTTATTAAATACATAATAAAGAAATGTTATAGAAATGTTCCTATAAATTGTACAAAAGCAAGTAAGATGTACCCACTAGAAACAACCCTATGACCAGAGGTAGGATTTTACTTGAAAAAATAAAAATTTTGCATAGAAAAGTGAATAATCAATCACGTACCCACTACCTAAAGAAAATAAACATGACAAACACACTTCAAACACCCTATGTTTCCTTCTCATGCCTTCTTTGTATTTTTACTATGTATTCCATTATTTAGGCATACATACATATACATTTTTAATTTATATAGATTTATAATTTTATAGCCTCTCCGTATCGTTCCTTTTAGCTTGCTATTCTCCTTAAGGCTTTTTGTTTTTGAGGTTTATCTCTGTTGCTATGTGGAATTCCACTGCATGATTATACCATTATCTTTAAAACTGTGACTGATGGTTGTTGAAGTTACTTCCAGTTCTTTGTCATTACTACAAACAGTACTGCTCCACAGTTTCATATAACCTTCTTTACGCATGTAAAACTTTCTCTAAGGTACACATGTAAGAAGAGCATCTCCTAGGATGCCCCCAGGTTCCAATTTGCAGGACACTGCCAGGCTGCTGACCACAACAGCGGATCCATCTGTGTTATCAGAGCAGTGCAGAGACTTCCAAGGGCTCTCATTGCTCCCAGCACTTGGAAGTGGCCGACCAAACTCTGGTCAGTCTGGTGAGTATGGAGTACACGTGTAGTGTGGTTTTGATTTTCACTTCTGCCATTTATGTCTCCTCTTCTTTTCCTCTATTTTTGCTCTTTTTTTTCCCCCTCTTACTGATTGACACTATTTCTTTACATCATCTGGGCCATATTCATTTGCTAGTAACATGTTGTCTCTCTGGCCTGTGGCTTCCTTTTTTGTTTTCATGGTTTTTGTTTTGTTTTTTTTAAGAAGCACAAAGTTCTAAATTTTAACTAAAGAATAACTTATCTCTTCTTCAAAGTTCAACTTTCTCTGTCTCATTTTAAAATATCCTTCCCTAGTCCAAGTCATAAAAGTATTCTGTATCTTCTTCTAGTAGCCTAAAAATTTGCCTTTCATATTCCTTAATCCATCTGGAAATAGTTTTTGTGCAGTCTTTGGAAAGATCTGTTACATTATTTTTTTGCACAGATAACTGTCCCAGACCATCCTGGATTTAATGCTACCTCAGTCATGTATTAAATTTCCTATACGAGTGGCTCTATTTCTCCTGTTTTGTTTCGTCAATCTAATTATCACTACTTCAATACCACTATGTCTTAATTATGGTAGTTTATGATAAGGCTTTATATCTGCCAAAGAAAGCCCACTTCCATCCCTTTTTATTCTTGAGGATCACCTAAGATATTCTTACCCTTGTGCTTGTCAAGTGTGAGAAATGTGAAACATTCAAACAGAAGGGGCACAGATGACAGCACTCTGAGCCTCCCACCTCTGCTTTAACAAAGCAACTCCACAATTAGCACAGTGAACGGGCTTCTAGTTAAGCTTTCCTTGGAAGAAAGGGGTTCCTACAAAAATAGGATGGCAAGGGGCGCCTGGGTGGCTCAGTCGTTAAGTGTCTGCCTTCGGCTCAGGTCATGATCCCAGGGTCCTGGGATCGAGCCCCGCATCGGGCTCCCTGCTCCGTGGGAAGCCTGCTTCTCCCTCTCCCACTCCCCCTGCTTGTGTTCCCTCTCTCGCTGTGTCTCTGTCAAATAAATAAATAAAATCTTAAAAAAAAAATAGGATGGCAAATACTATCTCAGTCCATTTATTTCTTCCCACAACCTTTAGGGCTGACTGAGGAAATTAAGTTTCAGAGAAGTTGAGTAACTTGCTCAGCAAAAATTCATAATAAGGAGTGGCAGTGCTAGCATTTAAATCCAGGACTAATTCCAAATCCCATGTAACTACTGTGTCGCACACAAAACTGAAAGTGAAGTCTATGTTTAGTAAAGAAATAGAAATACAGTAAGGAACTAGAATTTTTAAAAAATTACATAAGGACTGCCATTACTTAACACTTAAAACAACAACAACAACAACAACAAACCCAGTGAGATATAGCAGCAGAAAATGAGGGGGAAATACCTTAGGGAAATAGGCTAAGATAATTTCCAGACAAGTTTTCCCCTGTCAGCCAACAGCACATTATCTCTATAGTCCCTTAAGTGCTCAGATTACACAAATCTTAGTAGTAATAAAGATATTTGAAAAGATATACCATTTTTATTAATATGAAGAACGACACCTAGAAGGCAAAAGGTTTTAAAGCTTACACAAAACTCAAATTTTGTTATTTGAGAGGCGTAACGTATTTACCTGCATCAAATACTGTGCACCTTCTCTCAAATCATCTGCATGTACTGGAGCATAAAAAGCCTTCATCTTGTTTTTGATAAGCCACCGCTGATATCTGGCTTGATCAACGCACATCTCTTTCATGGCTTGTCTTCGAGGGCCCTTTGGAGAAGAATATTAATAATGCCTTTAACTGAAAGATAATGCAGTCCACACTTAAGAAAATCACCATTACACTAGCTTAAACAAGGTGCCTAAACCTTGGGGATGGGAAAGAAGTAGGACAACAACATTTCATTTTCATGTCAATGAATTCTTTCTGTAGATTATGACAAGATACGGTTGATGGAACAGTTAAGGCACAGGAGGCAGCATGAAAAGAGAGAAGAGAAGATGAAGAAATACATACTGAAATATAAATAGGAAGTTTTCAATACACTAAGTAAATAAGCGAAATTAGAAATTATTGAAAATGGAGAAGAGATCACATGGAGAAAAATAAGAGCCTTCTGTTTTTCTACAAAAAGTTTCCCAGCTTATTTTTCATTTGTCCCCAATGTCTGAGTTATTAATTCTCAGGAACCTGAAAATGCAAGTTTGCTGTAAAATATAAATGCATTTTTTTCTTCATACTTCTGTTAAATGATGAAGAACAGAATTAAGGAAATGAGATTTTCAACTTGCAATTCTATTTTGATCCTTGCAAGCAACACATAAAATGTGTTATATGCAAATGTATATAAAGCAAAAATCTAAAACCAGGTTTAAAAGTACGCCTTAATTGTTCATGAAAAAGTAAAGGACAAATACAATTTGTTTTTCTTGGTAGGAAAATTGCCCCATTTGTAATTTCCTGCGGTCAAAACCCCAACCTGAACTGATCAACTTGGAAACAAACTGAAAAACTCTACCGGTCCTATGGGGGACCCGGGGCCAGTGTGTCCATGTTCTCGGCCAGACGCGACTTTGACTTTGTGACTATACAAGCGGAAGATCAACTCTAGCAGGAGCTGAGACATGGGGCATCCAACACACATTTCTAATGAGATAAACAAAACAGTTTGGGACAAAAGCTAATCTGACAAATACTCCAATTTCTCATGCAGAACAGGTGACCCATCATCTAGCAATTCTTTTCAAGAGCCAAGATGCCAAAAATAGAAAACTACTTTTGGGTGAAATGTTTACCACTACTTTTTTTTAAAGATTTTATTTATTTGACAGAGAGACACAGCGAGAGAGGGAACACAAGCAGGGGGAGTGGGAGAGGGAGAAGCAGGCTTCCTAAGGAGCAGGGAGCCCGATGCGGGGCTCCATCCCAGGACCCGAGATCATGACCTGAGCCGAAGGCAGATGCTTAACAACTGAGCCACCCAGGCGCCCTACCACTATTTTTAGTAATGTTAGTACTCATGATTAAAACACAAATGAACAGGCAATTAACAGTGTTCGAACTTGGAAATTCAGCATTCACTCTGCTCCTCTTATGTACTGGATTGCTAGATATTTACCACCATTCATCTACCTCCTCGAACCTCTTTTTTCTTTGGGTAGTAAATGTTCCCAGTGTTCTCAGAACAGTATGAGAAATATTAGTAAGAAAATACACATACTGTATTTCATTTAGATTCCTTAGTTATCAAGAAGCTACTTTTCTTAGCCAAACCATTCTATAAGAGAAATATAGTTTGGTAAAATCTCATAATAAATAAGAGAAAGAACAAAGATTTAAAATTCCAAAATCTTTTCTAAAATGAGGTTTTGAGACAGTAATAGAGGCAATAATATTTTGAAGAAAATAACTAACTTCAAAAAAACCCCAAACTCAACAGATTTATCTTGTCAAATCGTTTCATACCTAGAAAGCCCCACAAATTACAAATTATATACACATAGCAAAAAATGTTTTAATATAAAAAAAAACAATACAAACACTTACCATATGTACATGACTACAGATCATCAAACCAACATTTTTTGTGAAATCATGAACAAGATGAAGTAAAGCTGGGCGTGAGTTTGGAGCACCTGTCATAACAAGACACTGTGGCCTAATTTAAGATTAAAAAATAAAACAAAATTAGAGAAGTTTAGATTTTTGAGAACATGGAATTTTTAAGTTACTTCTCTTAAGAATGTATTGTTACACTAGAATCTCCTCCTTTATGCAACTGTCCTCAGGACGTAGGCCACAGGATGCTCAAAAGAAGAGGACTTTTAACCAGGGTTTCTTAGTATATGAGAAATGCAGAAACAAAAACTTCTTGGACCTAACATCGTGCAAAATGTCCTTCTAAAATAATAGGTAATGTCATACATCAAGATTCTGGTAGGTATTACAGGAAGACACACAATAGTTAAAATATATTAAATATATGTAAACAACTTTTCATCTTCTAAAGGTAGTAAGTATTCCAGTTCTTTCACAGAGTTCACAAAACTTCCTAAGAACATGGCCTTCCCTTCATATACAAACAGGTCACCTTCCTTCTTGGCTTGATCACATTATAGTGATTTCTACTTCATAATATCAGCTCTCTCTAATCTAGCTTAATTTTAATGGCAACTGTCATATCAGTAAAATCACTACAGTTGATGTGAAGGTTTCTATTTGAAGTAAAAGTTTTAATTCTAATTAATTATGGTGAAAATCAAAACTAAATTCAATTGCCTTTGTAGACACAAGATAGTGGCGTGACTTTCACATATTCTTAACTCTTGATTCAGCTGACTAGAAATGGAGATCAATGTTATTTTCTGACAAAATATTCAAGTATCCATTTTATAAGTTCAAACATTACCATAAATTCTTTAAAACAAGACTTTATATAATTAAAATAAACTTTAACAAAAAGTAAACTAAAATTTCTGACTTAACCACTAAATTAAATGTTAGGGTAGTTCCTAACATCATAAAATAAGCATGAAAACTTGAATAAAGATCATAAAAAAACAGAACAAAACAAAAACTAACCTATTCAGAATTTTAGCAAGCTATCTGAAAAACCAGTCCTGTCTGGGAGAATGGCTTTGGGGAAATCCAACATGACATCATCCTCTATGGCCCAGACTGCTCAGCCTCCCCATCTAAGCTTTAGCAGGTTAAATAGCTCCCCACATAGAAATTACATAATTCCTAGCCTGCCTGGTAGCTTACAACTGACCCTCTGAGTGACTTACAGCCCATTTCCTCTAAAAAGGAAGCTGGCTACCCTCCACACTTTGTTTCCCTTTCCTGTAAGCTACGCCATGGATGTGGTGATGACTTTGACCACACAGACAAAAACACCTGCTAGGAAATGGCAGACTGACAAGATACAGGGAATGTGGGACCTGAATGAGCAAATGCAGCAAATCCGCCCACCATAAACCATCCACACGTAACAGTGATGTCCGTCTTGTAGAGCCACTGCATAATTCAGCTTTTTTTTTAATGGTAGTTTAATGTACACTTTAACATAACCTATACTACAGTTAAATAACTGGTAGTCCCTATCTTTACTAAATGGTAAATATACCACAAAGGCTTAATTTGGTATAGTTGTATCATGCCAAAAAAGTATGGTATGAAATATATTAGAGATGACAACGAGTAACAAGGACAGAGTGTAAACATCTGTTTCATTTTAACTCCTTCCTCAAAAAATGCCATCATATAATGGGATTTTTAAGGCATAAAACCCACAAAAATATGAACAGGAGAAAACACAGTAGTATGGAAATACTGAAAGCCAGAAAGCAGATGGAAGAACAAGAAAGGATATGACAAATCAGGAAGAGGCTAAATCCTAAAGCCTATGAGAAAGCTGTGAAGCTACCTGATTTTATGCCTTAAAAAAAAAAAAAAATCACCAAAATGCCTATAAGTTAGAGGTAATAGGTGCCTCTGGAAGAGGAAGGGGCTATGTATTAAAGAGACCAAAGTAAGAAACAGTGGTTTAAACTCTGCACAAGAAACCACTAGATAGAACCAAATCATTTCCATCACTATGATGAACAAGTATCTCTGTCCTTCCCCAACTGTGTTAGGCTAGGGCTTATTTGCCAGAAAGGGCCTCAAAACCACAATGAGGTATCACCTCATAATACTCAGAATGGCTAGTACCAAAAAGACAAAAAGTAAGTGAGGATGTGGAGCAAAGGGAGCCCTCATGCACTGGTGTTTGGGGAATGTAAATTGATGCTGCCACTATGGAAAACAGTATGGAGGTTCCTCAAAACATTCTTAAAGAGAGAAGTACCATAGGATCCAGTAATTTCACCATTGGGTATTTACGTGAGGAAAATGCAAACACTGATTGGGAAAGATAAATGCACCCATATGTTTATTGCAATGTTGTTTACAATAGTCAAGATATGGAAGAAACCTAAGTATTCAGTGATAGATAAATGAATGGAAAATATGTGGTGTGTATATATATGTACATATATGTACATATATATACACACAACAGAATATTACTTGTTCATAAAAAATAACGAAATCTTGCCATTTGCGACAACATGAATGAACCTAGAGGGTATTATACTGAGGAAGATAAGCCAAAGACAAATACCGTATGATTTCACTTACATGTGGAGTCTAAAAAATAGAAAACAAACAGCAACAAAGGGAGAAACAGACTCATGGAGAACAAACTAGTACAACAACAACAAAAAGAGAAACAGATGCATAAATATAAACAAACTGATGGTCACCAAAGGAAAGGGGATTGGGGAGATGAGCAAAATGCGTGAAAGGGATTAAGAGGTACAAACTTCCAGTTATGATGTTAAGTCTTGGGGATGAAAAGTATAGCACCGGGAATAGTTGATAATACTATAATACACTTCTCATGGTGAGCATTTCATCATGTATATAATGGTTAAATCACTATGTTGTATACCTTAAGCTAATTTAGATTTTTAAAATTAAAAAAAAAATTTTTATTATTTTTTTTTTAAGTAAACTCTATGCCCAACATGGGGCTTGAACTCATGACCCTGAGATCATGCTCTACCCATTGAGCCAGCCAGGTGACTCCAAAACTAATTCAGTATTGTATGTCAACTATACTTCAATTAAAAGCATTTTTTTTAATTTAAAAAAAAAAAAAAAAGGCGGCTTCTGGTCTGTGAGACACCAGCAACACCTAAGGGCAAAAACAGCTACTTTCATCAGGGGAGAGCGAGAAAACATTTACACACTGAATCCAGAGATTCCCGACCTCCTTTCCCACCTAAGAACTCTGGTAGCCAGGACTTTTATCAACAAGCAGAATATTAAAATATTCTTTTCTGGGCAATCTAATCATATCAAAAAAAAAGAAAGTCTTCAAGATGACTTAAATTTCTCAAAGAACCAGTAAAGCCATATTAATCTACATTAAGGGCTTCACTGACAAGCCCCACCTACCAATGCAGAGTTTCCCTGGCCATGGACCACAATTACTTCAGACAAGGCTAAATCTAAGAACCCAAGTTAAAGAAACAGGAAACAGTGAGAAAGACACTTCAAAGAAACAGAAACTACGAAGCTCAGAAAACAACATCTTTTGTTAAGTTTGGTGAAGGATGAGATGGTGATATATATTAAGTTAAGAAAGAAAGAAAGAAAGAAAGAAAGAAAGAGAAAGAAAGAAAAAATGGCTCCAGAGGAAACAAGAAGGCTGTACAGGAAAGAGAAAGCAATCATAATTTACTACACGGCTCAGCTGGGAATCATTTTAAAACGTTATAAAAACATAAATATGAAGTACGGCCTAATCAAAATGATGACATAAAAGATACTGTGAGGATGGGATAAAGGGAAGAGTGCGTGCATGAGCCACCACATGTGAATGAAGGAAAAACATCAACAGATAAGGCCTAGAACATCCCAAGTAGAGCGAAACCACCACGATGTTTGGGAATATCAAGTAATTACTAAATGAATCAGCGAAGAGTTCGAAGTGGTTGCCTGTGGTATGTCACAAAGAGGGACACAAGAAGTTGGGCAATTACGGATTTTCATGACGAACCCAAGTTTTTCTTCTCTCAACTATGTTTATGTGCAATTCTGATAAAGATTTAAAAAGGTTATTTTGGAATAAAATATATCTTTTCAATGTTCCCATTCCTATAACAAAGCAAAGCAAAAGGTTTTTACTGATGGCAAATTAACTTTGGCTCTACTTAGTAGTATACAATACTTACAGAACTTCGATGGCCACAGTGGGAAGAAACTGTTCACTTTATGAGAGCTGACACTTAAAAGCCTTCAAATGGGAGACTTCACTTTCTCTCTCATAACATTTTGGTAAGTTAGATAATTCACCTCTTTGTCAACTTCTGATAAGAAATCTCATCCTTATTTTTGAATAAACTGCCCAACTAAAGTCCAACCAAAACAAAAAACAATAATCTATGCTTTCAGGAAACTTCTCATGAAATAGCAGCATACAAAAATGTTACTGAATGGTAAGTAAAGAACTGACTGCCACCTACGACCAACGATTCTGTGTTACCTTACTGCTCACCTAAAGTTTTTCACATGGTCTTCCACTCCTGAAAGACGAATCGAATGCTGTAGTGCATTCAGGTAAGTCAAAGCTTGTGTAGAGGATCCCCAGTTCACATCTGTGGGAAGACAGTGTTCATGCAGCAAAACACCAATATTCACCAACAATCAATAACCAATTTGAGACACAGAGAAGTAAACAGTGCTTTCCTATTTAAAAAATCAAGTGCTAAAATAAACCAATGTACTCAGAAATTTCCATAGTTCAAGTCCATAGCATAACACTACGAAAATGCTAATCTGAACTGTAATTGCTTTTAAAGCAAAATGTACAAAAAACGAAGGTGACAGGGCAAGAAAGTTCCACAAATAATTTTAAAATTATTGTTTATATAGGCAGAGGTCTAAGGGGAAAGAGGCAGCTCTCTGACTGAAAGATTTCAAAACTCTGAAAGTACCATTTATAGTGCTTAACAGTTAAGTTATCTGAACAGGCAAATTTCACTCTGTATTGAATAAACAGCCTGGGCACCAAATATGATTTCAGACATTTGTTATTTTAGAGAAATAATTGTTTCTAAGATGGTTAAAACATTACCTTCTTTGTCCATTTCATTTCTAAGGCTAGCACTCTTATCCAAAACCTCATTGTGTCATATCTGGATTACAAAATGTTTCCTCACAGTTTCACATGACTACACTGCAACCACTCTTGTAATTTCTTCCTAAACTATTCTTCTGGGGCCCAAACTTCTTAAACCTTTTTCACTGGTTCTTCCCTCAGAGTTAGAGGTCACCATACTATACTGGATCAACCCCAACATACCCGAGTATCATTGTCTTATGTGGAGATACACCCAACAGTTATCAGTGTGACACCTTCTGGGTAATCTTTAACTATTTCCCAGTTAAAAATACCTTTGTCAAATTAGGGAAGATACTACGTCTTTTTAATATACCATAAATTCTGTGGTACTTACTATACAGCAGGTACTAAGACTACAGTAGTAATACATATGTTTATTAGGCTAACAGCTACTACAGGTCCTATTTCACTAAGTCTAACCCTTTCAAAGGAAATTTTAAAGTATATTGAGGGCCACCAACATGTTAATAATACAAATTTGTCATTTTTCTTTAAGTAGGATTAGTTAAATCTAATTTATGGGTAAGCAGGAGTTCCAGAAAATAAAGCCCTGTGGTAATTATTTTCACTAAAACTACATGTATTTGGAAATGAAGTATTTTAGGTTTTACAAAGCACCTTTCAAGTACACAAAAGATGATGTTTAGATATGAAAAGCCACAAAGAACTTCTAGATATTTTCTAGCTTGAATATACATAATAAATGTAAAAAACTACTGACCTGGTTTTTTGTAGGTAACATAAATATACAGCCCAAGGACTATTACATATGTTAGCAATGCAGCCCACCAGTTAATAACGAACATCACTATGCAACAAAGAATCGCTCCAAGAAGTGATATCCACATGTTGTAGTATTTGAATGCAGGACGCCACCCTAACAATCACAAATAAAATAGAGACCTCAAAGTCACTCAAATACCTTATCTGCTTTAGACAATGGTACATATGTATGCACAAAATAACTTTCTTTGTGGTTGCTTTAAACAAGAAGTATAAGGCTAATGTATGACAGTAAAGTCATAGAGCATTATTGAGCACAATTTTTGAAGGCCACGAAGAGAGCCCATCTATTTACTTCTGTTTTATTCTATGTTACTAGTTTCTGTATTCAATAAACTCTTCATCAAAAAAAAAAAAAAGTTTAAATCAACGTATCTTAATGAATGGTTAAAAACTACAAAAGATTGAAAGTTTTCAAATCCAGCCCTTAGTAGTGTGGTTTTATGTTCTGGATTTTTAGCATAAGACATACCCATATTCTAACGAATATACAGAAGAGTTCAAACAGAATGTTCTTGAAAATTGTTAAAAGTTGATCAACCTGCTAGAAAAATTAACAGTTGAGTACAGAAACTTACCTTTGGTGAAGTATCTAAGAATTAAGCTCACTCTAAAAAAAATGCTGAAAACCATGTTTTAAAGTTTTCATTCCATAGCCAAAAAATATTTTTAAATCATAATTTAATATATATTCTTTTTTTTAAATTAAATTTCACACAAAGTTATGAGAAAGAATTCAGAGAAATTCTGGGGACCTTTTACCTAATTTCCCTCAATGATAACATCGTGCAAAATGATACTATAATATCACAACCAGGATACTGCTATTAATACAGCCGAGATAAAGAAGAGGCCAGTATAAGCATCCCTTGTGCTGCCCTTCAGAGCCACAAAGACACCTCTAAAATTTATATCCTTAAAGTTCTGAGAGGCTTTTAGGCCCTTAGAAGGAAAAGTGCTTTTTGTTCCTTCAATTCTTTCCCTGATGTCCAACCATTACGATTAATAACAAAAAGCCCTCAATAAAAGTATATGAGGCACTTTTTCGGTTGCAAGAGACCCTTTATAATAGAACTCCACAAACTTATTGTGTTGAAAATATTCCTCTGGGCAGGTTAGCTACACCAAAATAGTGTTGAATAGAACTTGAAACAGAAAGCAGCTAAATAAATAAAAACAGGGAAAGAAAAGCACGATAATTCAAAGTGTTAGTCAGAATTTGAGATTAACACTCTTACACAAGTTCTAAGACAAGAAACAGTACATTACTGGGAAACATTATGATAAAGAGATCTTTGAAAACTCAGCGAATTTGACTGAACTGTAAGGGCTGACTGAGCATTAATGGGCTATACACTCACAATACCATCTTTTAAAACATGTTAAAGTCTTATTTTCTCTAAAATCAAAGACATTAGTGCATTTACAAAATTTTTTAAAAATGGAAAATCACCTGGAGATTTTGCAAGTGATGCATGGAACACCGAAAAATTGATCAATGCATACGATGCAAGGAAGAAGTTAGAGATAATTGGAGCAATAACATTCAGCTCAGCTGCAAAAGAAACATGAGGTATATTTACTGACACATTACTTTTTGACTCTTTAAAAAATGAAATTATTTTAAACCTTTAGATGACAGCCTTAGGAATACCCCCAAATCCACCATTCAGACTTAATGAATACTTACACTTTGTCAGATATAGTTTGTATACTTTACTTTTCAGGAATCAAAGCTTAGGTCCATAGTTGAAACCCTTTATACCTCATTCTTACAAAGTTGGTGTATTTTTCCAATGATATCATATGGTTTTACACATATATAGTCCACAAACATTATTAGGTAGTCCCATTTTGGTATTTTAAAAGTTAGACAAATAATATCACACTATATTTATTATTCTGCAATTTGATTTGATATATTTATTATATTGGAGATTCATTCATATTGATATATGAAAATCAATTTTAATCATTTTTTTTACTCCTGAGCATTCTTCTGTTAGTAGGTATTCAGGTTGCTTCTATTTTTCACTATTGTAATTAATGACACTAAAAACATCCCTGCATATGGCTCTTTGGTTATATATTCAAGTTTCTTTAGGGTAAATACTCCTAAAGAGAATTGCTGGATTGTGAGAAACCTTACTCAACACTGCTAATTTGTTCTCCCAAGGTAGCCTTACCAAACAGATACCTAGCAGCATTACATGGGAGCTTCCACATATGGTGGTATCATCATTTATTAAAAGCCCCCTGTCATCTTTAGCAGCGGAAGACTCATTAGCTCACTTGCGATCAGAGGCAAAAGTGCCAAAAAGTAGCTCAGTGAAGGCCGTACCTTCAGGAGGGGGCACTGAAATCCTTTCCCTTATGCTATTATCTCATTTGTTTCAGGGACAAGAACCTAGGAGTTCCCTCTCATGAGGATTTAATGACGGTAGTAATTTCAGCAAATATGCTTTGAGCACTACTATTTGCAGTATTTTCTATATACTCTTTAAATTGACCACAAAGAAACTAACTTTGTTTACTAGGCAAAGTAAGGTTTTGTTTATAATTTAATAATTCAATGTTTAGAGCTAATACTATAAATACTCCAAAATCTGTATTAGCACACCATTTATATGACTAACCAATTAAGATGAATCCAAGGGCAATTAGGAATGTTAAGATGTAGCCACGAAGAGGTTCATTATTTTTCCCATAACCTTTAGCAAACATCTGGAAAGCTGGATAGATGTTGTCCTTACAAAGAGCCTAGGGAAGAAACGTAAATACTAGAAGGAAATGTTAACACAGACATACAGATTTCCTTACAGTTTTAATAGGTTACTCAGGAATAGAACACAAGTTTCTAACTCTTGTGCTTCTTTCTTCCCCTGTATGATACTGCTTTACCTACAATCCATAAAGGAGACCAAACATTTCAAGCATCAAAAGGTAGTTGCTGGGGCGCCTGTCGGTTAAGCGGCTGCCTTCAGCTCAGGTCATGATCCCAGGGTCCTGGGATCAAGCCCCGCATCGGGCTCCCTGCTCGGCGGGGAGCCTGCTTCTCCCTCTGCCTCTGCCTGCCTCTCTGCCTCCTCTCTCGCTGGCTCTCTCTCTGTCAAAAAAAAAAAAACTTTAAAAAAAAAAAAAAGGTAATTGGTTCAGAATACCACTTAAGTTTTTATCTGCTTAACCCCACACTCATATTGAAATTCTTTCAGGAAAATAAAAAAGTGAGAGAAGCAGGTACATGAATACAAGAAATGTGAAAACTTGGTAAATATGACATAAGTATGACCTACATTAAGAAAAAGTTCTGAATCCTAGATTTAAAGCAGATAAAAATCCTAATTATAAACTTAACCACTTTTCTTAAAGCTTTACTAAAAATTGTTTTTTAAGAAATATATTCTACATTTACTGTACTCACTGCCTACAACTATAATATTAAGAACAAGGATGCAGAATCAACGTTTCATTTTTGGACTCAGTAATAAAAAGTATTTCCTATTCAGTATCAGCTGTTTATCGAATGCTCATTAAAGGGAGATAATGTCTACCTTATTCGTCTTTCTACCCTCAGTAGTTAACACAACGTGTGACATATGGCATTCAAATATTTGTAAAGTAAAACATAAAGACTGACATCATGCTAAGAGGGACAAGATCCTTTAATTCTTCTGATTTATGCTTGGAATGCATTCCTTATTCTTGATAAGACATTAGAAAAATTTGAGCAACGAGAATATGTCAAAAAAAGCAAAAATTCATCACCACTTCCAGAAAGACAACTCAAGGACTACCCCCTGACTGTAGGTAAATGCACTAGAGTTTATATAAACAGAAACATTCACATTCAAACACACAAAGTTAAACATATCTGGCCTGAGATACATGTGTATAAATCATAAACACCTATGAGGTAAACAAATAATCTGAAAAAATTAATCCCAAAATGAAATGTATTACCATAAATTCCCCTTCAATAAAGCCTGTAATCTGAAAATACCTACCTGAAATATTTTGGGAGCACTCACAAGGGATGCTAATGCAGAAGAAAGAGTGGCTGAAAAGATACCAGCAGAAATTAATGGTGCAAATCCTGACACCATGCTCATTACCTTAAAAAGGGACAAAAATGGAAAATTAAGTCTTACAAACCACTCAAAAAACTCACAATACATCTTTATTATGCTAATGAAGGAGACTAATACCAGGGAAATATGATAATAATGAACAGGAATAATAGTTCTATGCATTAAAAATTTCTGAAACAGATTTACCATGAACCCTCACCTTCAATCTTTTTATTTGGCAAAATTTCAAAGACATACAATGGCAGAGAATAGCATAATGAACCATTCCCCACGTCATTGTGAGTCAAACCCCAGATATCAATGCATAAAAGTTTCAGTATGCACCTCTAGTGCGTAAGCACTTTAAAAAATCCTAACTGCAAAGCCACTATCACAGTTTGAAAAGTAACTCCTTAACATCACCAAATATCCTATCAGCATTCAAATTCCCCTAAGCTGTCCATCTTTTCTTGCCTTTTAAAATAGTTTGTTTAAATCAGGATCCACAAAGGGACTCCACATTAAATTTGGTTGATATGTCTCTTAAGTCTTTTTCAATCCACAGGTTCACTGTTTCCTTTACATTTTATTATTTTTAGGTCATTGTCCTATAGAAGCCTCACACTCTGGATTTTGCTGACTGCACCTCCAACTTCTGTTATTTAACCTGCTGCTCTCACTTCTGTATTTCTAGTCGACTGATAGACCTAGACAGGTCATCAGACTGAAGCACAAGTTTTCTGGCAGGAATATTTCAAGATGGTACAATACACTTCTGTCAGGTAGGTTCTTTCTTTCTGGTTTTTTGTTTTTGTTTTTTGATGTTAAGGTAGTAGATTGGTACTGTGCTTATGTTTTTTCTTTTTAAAAAGAGACCTTAAATATTAGAGCTAACTGTGGAAATATTTCTACCTGAAGGGATCTAGGTCTATGATTGGTCTTTAAATAACCTGGGAAGTAGGAAGTTATAAATAAAGTAACGTCAGCCAAGCACTGGTGATTGGTAAAGCTGGAAAATGTATGCTAGATACATTACAGTGCTTTTCAATCTTTGCACATGTTCAAACATTTCCCTAATGAAGTTTTAAAAAAATGAATTGATCACTTAGATCATGAGAAGACAACCAGCTAAATCCAAACTGAGGGGCAAAATGCAAAGTAACTTGCCTGGACTCTTTAAAATATCAATGTCCTGGAAGATTAAAACAGGCAGGCTACAAAGCCCTAGATTAAAGGATTTTAAAATAATAACTAAATGCCATGCATGACCTAGATTGTATCTTGGATCTAAGAAAAATAGCTGAAAGGGACATTACCGAAACAAGTGGGGAAAGATGAAGATAGAATATACATTTCAATAACAGTATTCTGTCAACACTAAATTGCTTAAGTGAGATAAAGAATATATATATACATAAAGATAAAGCAATGGGGTAAAATATAAACAAGTAGTAAATTTAAGTGAAGGGGTAGGTATACAGGTATTCACTGCACTGTCCCTTCACAATTTTGAAAATTGTGAAAAAATAAAATTGAGGTGGAAAATATGTCTGGTGGATTCAGGTACTGTCAACTTGACCCATCCAATTATAAATTTCACCAGTAGTGAACGGTGACCATCACCTAAATTCATTCCTTCCTTAGGAGATTTACTTCATATATACGTATATATATAAAATTCATAAATATATATATAAATATATATAGTATTTATATATATATTTATACATATATTTTAAGATTACTTATTAGAGAGAGAGAGAGAGCACGTGCATGCCCAAGTGGGGAGAGCAGGAGAGGGGGAAAGAGAATCTTAAGCATCTTAAGCCGGCTCCATCTCACGACTCTGAGATCATGACCTGAGCCAAAATCAAGAGTTGGAAACTTAACCGACCAAGCTACCCAGGCATCCCTACTTTTCATTTATATTGACCAAGACCATGTGCCAATTGACACCAAGGAGATAAAGGAGATATGGTTTTAAGGTGTTAGTGACTATTATACACTTGACTGTAATTTTATACTTTAAACCAGATGTAAAGTTAACTATAGGCACAATCCCTGGCCATAATGCAACAATCTGGTTACAAGTGCACATAATTCCACCTTGTTTCATTTAAGTATCTCCCCTTGTATCTTTCAAAAGACCCAGTGTTAAAAATACACTGAAGTGTTTTAATGAACCTTAGTATTATCCTCTCTGAGCATTTCAAGGAGAAAAAAAATCTTGAAAAGGTCATTTTCTATTCAGCCCTTTAGCAACAATTTGGTTAGGTATATGCCATGTGTTTTTCACAATCACTGTATTACACAGCTATTAATACTAGATCAGCACTGCCAATCCTGTCTTTAGGGAAGGAGATTATAAAAGACATATAAGATGGACCAAGATAAAAAAGTAGCAGACTTGATTTCTGCTATATATACTTATGAAACACAAAATTCTGTGCCTGTCTATAATGACCTCAAAGATAAATGCAAAGACAGGAGATAAATGAAGAGAGAAAGCAAGGAACAGAAAAAATGATACACTGCTGGATTAAGGCAAAACATATACCACAAGCATTATATATAACTGACTTTTCATCTGTCATGTTTTGGGGAAAAATTCCATTTTCTCTTCTTCCACTATATCATCTCTTCTTCCACAAACTGAGGTAAATAATGCTCCATGCTTAGCATCTCGAAATACTATGCTTCTAGAATTTGCCAAGTTTCCTGTTTTCTAGTTATATTACCCTACTTGGTAACCTCTGCATTTTCCACCATTTAATGATAAAATATGAGTAGTAAGGACAATGATAATGAATGTAAATAATGGTAACACCAGTGTTGTCCAGAATACAAAGTACAAACAAAGATAACAAAAACACAGGTCTTCTCTCTAGTAAGGGGGAAAAAAGACAAAAGTCCGATAAAAGGTAGAAAAGTGGCAAGTAAAATGAATGGTAAGATACCGTATGGGGGTGTGTGTGTGTGTGTTGATGACCTGTAGTTTAGAAAATCTTCATGGAACTGGGTCTCCTTGAAAGCAGGCAGATTTGGACAAATGTAAAGAAAAAAGCAGGTGCATTCCCAGAAGAGTGAAGCAACAAAACAAAACAACCCCAAGAGAGTAGGGTAAGCATGTATGCATGTGTATGTGTACAAACATCCAACCACTGGAGTTCAGTATGGATAGAAGGCTGTGGGATATAAGTCTGGGTATCAAGGGTTTTGACTGACAGAGCAAAGAAGCTCACACTTTGTTTAGTAACCAACGGTGAGTCAAAGGTTTCAGAGGACATGAAAATATAGAACTACATTCAGAAACATTAGGACTATATATGTAAAATTAAAAATTTAAGACAAGTAAGGCAACCCAAATCACTTTTCCTCCTGAAGTATGAAAAGTCAATTACATGCAAAACAGTGTGATCAAGTGTGGCTTTGTATAGACTTCATGATCATATTCCAACTTACAGGCCCCTCACATACGTTCTATGCATCATTCTTCATTCTCCAAATGACAAGCAATTTGCATTTTTCAGGATTTTTTTTCTATTTAGCTTCACTTTACAAGGCATTTAAAAATTGTTTTAAAAAAGTTTTTTGTTATATTAGAAAAGCTGCTTTATGTAAACCAAACTCCTCTTTGCTTTAATGAGTCCATACTAGACTTGATAAAGACAACACACTTTTGTATTTTAAGGTAACAACACAGAAATCTGATTGGCATTTTCAGTCACCAGGCAGAGATCAACATTTGTGCTTTTCATACACAATATCAATGTCAGAACTGGCCTGAATCATTAGCTGGATATGAATACTTTCTTTCATTCCTACGACTATGCCTAGGTCTTGTGACTAGAACAAACAAACTTCTATTACATAATTGGATTCAATATTTATAACCAATGAAAATGCAGTCAATTGCTTAAAACACAAAATTAAAAAAAACAACCATTAAAAATTAAGTGACAAATTTATTACAAAATTTTAGTATTCTACATAAAATGTATATTCTTCTAAAATACAGTGAACTCTCAATGATTATGTTTACACTAAACTGTAAAAACACTAGAATCAAAATTTTTAATTTTCACTTTGAGTTAGTATAATCTTCTCTGTAAAAGCCCATAAATGTTACAAAAATTTCATTTTGCTTTCAGAACCTTATAGAGGTAATAACAAAAAGGAAAAGGAATGATATTCTCTAAATTCTAGACAAGTAGTGTTATAGTTCATATGTTCTGAAAGCATCCATTAAGAATTTAATTCTACTGTTCAATGGGAGTTTAGCACAGCATGACTACATGGGTCTTGTCTAACTAATAACACTATTGATACCAACACTTTTTTAAAAGGGAAGTTACAATATAAAGCAATTATGAAGACACCTCAAATTAGAAAACTGAACTCATTTCACTGAGTACAGAACTCATTTAAAATACTTAAGGGGTGGCCTGGCTGGCTCAGTCGGTGAAACATGCAACTCTTGCTCTCAGGGTTGTGAGTTCAAGTCCCACACTGGGGGACTTTTAAAGATTTTAAAGAAAATCTTTAAAAAAATAATAAAATACTCAAAATAAGAATGAAATACTTAGGTATAACAAAACACGTTGAGTACTTGTATTCTGAAAACTACACAATGCTGATGAAAGAAACCAAAGATCTAAACAAATGGAGAGACATACTGTGTTCATGGATTGGAACACTCAATATAGGGAACATGCCAATCCTCCCCAAATTGATACACAAGTTCAATACGTTCCTATCAAAATCCTAGCAAGACTTTTTGTAGATAAATATTATTCTAAAATTTATATGAAAAAGCAAAAGGAACTAAGCTAAAACAATTCTGAAAAACAATAAAATGGGAGGAATCAATCTACTTGACTTCAAGACTTATCATGTAACTACTCTAAACAAGAATGTATGGTACTGGTGGACTGATAGATGGAAACACCAAAGAACAGATCAGAGAATCCAGAAATAGACCCAACAAATATGAGCATGTGTGAGATGCTTCCTTGCTTTCTGAAGCTATACACTACATATATATACTATATATTATACACGATCATAAAAGCATTACCCTCAGGAGCCCTTTTGCTCTTGAACAGCTTCAGAATTTACCCTTTCAGTATTTATCTGTTTGCCCAATTATTTATCTACAGACTTTTCAAACAGCTATCTGGGTAAAAAGTAACAATGGTCCTACAATGGTCCTCCCTTCTAAGTGACCGCTGTACTCTGAATGCTCAGGTTTGATAGCAGTCTGACCTCTATATATACAATGTCAGCATAACATAAATATGAGGCTCACCTGGAAATTGTTCATTAGGCCATAGTAACAAGGACTGCTTTCACAAGATGAAAAGTCAAAGTTTAATTTGCAGGCTGCAGAAGTACAGTTTGTTAGCTCTGTTACAATAGTGTCATTAACATTCCCAGTGGCATCTCGAACAACACAAGAACCTGAAGGGCAAGGGACAATAAGAACAAGTAATATAACTGAAATTTATATTCATTTCAAAATTACATATATCCATAAAGGAATTTATGGTACTGACTGAATATATATTAGTTAACAGTACTTACATTTTCAGCATTTACATATAGCATTTATAGTTTAAACAGATTTACCTCAAACAGAATTGGAAAAGCATCATGGTCCCCAATATTTAAGTAGTGAAACAAAATCTTACAGAGACGAATATTTCACACATGCACACTTAAAAAACCCCATACATATAGTTGTGGAAAATGGTAATGAGCAAAACTATTTGGTTAAGCAATTATGAAAACTCTGTTGGAAGAGTTCCAAATGGTAGAAATGTTTTCCTGCACTCCCGAGTGTTTTATATGTGAAACATGCCAAAGATCAGACTTCCGGTAATATCAATCTTCTGTGAAGGGAAACAATTTGAACATTAATGAGTTATAATTCTATTTAAACCTTTGGCTCAAGTAAGTCTATCCGGATAATAAGACAGTGCGTGATACCTGAGATTTGCTTAAAAATAACCGCTGGGGCAGAAGGAATGGGCACAGGTGAAACAAGATTAACCATATACTGTTACTTCTTGGTAACTTTGTTGAAAGTAGGTGATGGTTCATTAGAAAATACACTCTACTTTTGTGCAAAACTGAAAACTTCCATACTATGACATTTAAAAACTTTTCTTGGAAAAAAGCACTTCATTATTTGGAACAACATATGATGTGTAACTATTAGTAATTACCATTCCTTAGACTTTTGAAGCACTTTAACACTCCTGTCTCATCACATAGTAAAAATTATAAACATTGCAGCCAAAAGTGAACAACACACAGAAAATTAAGTTTGAAAGGGAGAATATTTTAATCAAGTTCTTCCTAAATTTCTTCATCTAACTCTCGGAGCAGTGTTTGCAAAACCATGTTTCCTTAAAGGTACTTGTGAAACCATGTGGGGTGAGGAGAGAAAAGAGCCCTGTCTACCTTACAGCAGCTATGATTTTATGTTTCATACTCTGATGTTATACATCGCAGGTGACTGGCGGGGGGAGAAAGGTTCCCTTACTCTGAACCAGTTATACATCCACTCTTGTAGACACTGGCCCCACTCCTGAGTGTCAGGGAGGAAGGGCTACTCCTACTGCTCCAAGGGCTAGTATGGACAGAATGAAATAAGTATGACGGCTCACATCAGAGAGACAGAATCAAACAGAAAACATTTGTTTGGTGTAACTAATTATTTTCCAATTTGAAACATAATCAGTTATATCATTCTTTAAATTAAAACTAAATTTTCTTGACCCAGGAACTTTTAGAGGAACACAAAAATATTTTTGCTAAGCTTTTATTTATATATATACATATATATATAAAATTGTTTCTAAATGAATTTCAGAAATCTACATATGGACTGTAAGAATAAATAGGAGCGCCTGCGTGGCTCAGTCAGCTAGGTGTCTGCCTTCGGCTCCAGTCATGATCTCAGGGTCCTGGGATCCAGTCCCTGCTCAGTGGGGAGTCAGCTTCTCCCTCTGCCTGCCCCTCCCCCCGCTCGTGCTCTCTCTCTCTCACCTTCTCTAAAATAAATGTTTTAAAAAAATTTTAACTATCCGTCAGTGCATGTCAATTATATATAAACCAATACTTTTTTTTGGGGAACGTTTCAGCTAAAGAAACTAAGAGTCTTTAAAGAATTCACTAAAAAACAAAATAAAATCTCTCTTTGCCAGGAAACAATTCTTTAAATCAAGTGTCACTTATCTTTGGTAGGAAATCTCTAAGCTTTCATTCCTTCATGGGTACAACAGTGATTTAGAGATTAGTTGACCACTTAAGTCCTTTCCAGTTCATTTAAAATGCTATGATTTCATGAATGTAATAAAAGGCTGAAAACCAGGTTCATTCAATTTAATATAAGACTTCATTCAATAAAGAATGTCCTATCTACCAAAATCAGTTTTTTTGGTAAAAAATGCCAAGCATTGCTTAAATGTCTTCAAACAATCTTCATATGTAGTAAGATTAACATGCAAATATAAAATAACCACCATAAAAAATATTAATAATTTTATAATGATCAGAGTAAAATGCATTTACTTCTACTATGTGAATTGTATTTTCTATAAAATATAGCTAAGTCAAATTTAAGAGTTTGCAAAGAGGACTTTACATAATTTTTAATTTACTTTAACTCATAAAGATCCTAGAGAAAAAAAACAAGAGGGCATCTGGGCATTTAGGTAGTATCTGTAAAATCACTACTAGTTTACTTAAAACTCTTTCTGAATTAAAATACGCAACTCAATCTTTTTATTGAAGTATTTCTGAAATTAAAAGTTAAAAATATAATACCATGGGAATAAATATTTAAAGTATGTACATCATGAAATTTCTGAAAGAGAAATATAAGGCTATTTACCTACAGATACTGCAATTCCTATGTAAACCACCGTAGTAATTAAAATGGCTAAGAGTGTTCCTTTGGGTATGGCTGACTGAGGATCCTAGAAGACAAGAAAAAAATTTTGAGTCTACCTTTAAAAATATATGTATACCATTTTTTACACAAAATCAATCAGTACTTTGTAATACTTACTGCAAGATCACCTGAGATATTTGCTCCAGCAAGAATACCAGTTGCAGCAGGAAAAAAGATGGCAAATACAGAAAAGAAAGTCTCTTCCTCTCGAAAATCCGGTCCAAAGTTCTCATTAAATATTTCAGCTGTGGAGAACAAAATATCTTTGGCAATTAATGGACAGCAGATTAGACCATTATAATTTAGGTCAAGTGTAAGTGTTATGTATGTATGTATGTATGTAGCTTTTCTTCAGTTCAGTTAACTGGTAAATTCTTGACTATTTCCTAGTAAAAGCATGGCATTGCCTGTTTTCTTGTATGAGGAAAGAGTTTATAATCACAATGATGATTTGACCTGGGCCATGCCTACTATTTTGTATACCTTACTAATTATGTTTCAAGCACCTCTAACTTGACTGTTATCACTAATACAAATGTCAATCAAAGCGTGGATAAACTTCTCAATGTCTGGGGTCAGTCAAGGAAATAAGGAAGGAGGTAGGAAAATAAAAAAACATCATACTAATCTGGACCCATTTTTTTTTTTCTTACATCCAACTTATATACTATCTGTACAGTTCTCTATTTCCTTGTGGTGACCTGTGTAATTTTTGATGCTGAATTATTCATCAGGCTTCCATATAATTTTAGCTAAGGCAAACTAGGTAAAGTCCCTTTCCATTTTAACAATAATGAAAGCTTCAACTAGTCCTACTGTTTCCATCTATTCTGATGGGCCCTGACACCGAAACAACTAGTTAACTATCATCCATCCATCCATCCATCCATCATCTGAGTAACTACCATGCACCAGGTTTTCCTACTGGAGCCATTAAGTATCTCACTACCTTAGTAAAATGAATGAGAAGGCAGCAAAGCAATATCAACCACCAAAAAAGAAAAGTCACATTCTGAAGTATATTTAGATTTATTTACTTCAGACTGAGATAAACCCAGATACACTACTTATACAATATTTATTACTATACTAGATAACAATGCAATACTTTTATAAGGTGAGAAGGATCTGAAAAAAAAATGGAAATGAAAAATGTGGTTTAGCAGATATTGGCAGCTATTTTTAAATCAACTAAAGTCACAAACAGAAAATATATAATTACTAGGTATATTTTTAGAAATAATCATCTCCTATAATTTTTAACACTTCTTTTAGAAATAAGGTTGCAAAAAGAAATGTTCAGAAAAATTCATAACATAAAAAAATTTAAGTAAAAAAAATCACTTCTAAGGACAAGAAATGTCACAAATATAATTTATGAAAGCATAAACTGTAAAAAAATATCTACCTAAGTGATGGTTTTAATTTTCACTTCTGGCATGCCTAGTAAACACCTCTTCCCCCAATCTAGAAAATCAGGAATTTAAAGCCCAGTTTAGACGTAGGCACGAGCATTAGTAATAAGAACAGATATCACACGATCAACCCAGGACCAGCAGGCACAAATAATGGGTGAATGTCACTGGTTAAGGTATAAACCTTGAAACAATTCCTATCAGAAAACTACCCATGCAACTAAGTCAGTGTCTGAGAGAAGCCAAACCAGTGCTACTCACAAATGATCAAGGACTATATGTTGTTACTGTGATCAAAAAGATTAGTAAGCTTACACCAGAATGTAAACCAACTAGGTCTCTAGGATCCACAGTTTGTGTCAGCTGATTTTTTTTTTTTCCCAGTAAGACTTTGTGAAGGAAGAAGGGCACTGCTGTACATTCTGTATCTTTTCACAGATCTGTATGAATAGCTCTGGGCTGAACTGGGGAGTACCGCAGCTAGGCCTCTCCCTCTAGGGCTTCAAAACAGGGAGTTTCTTGAGGAGTTTTTGTCAACTGAAGACACATCTATTACCCTAAGTGGTAACCCTCTCTGACGCTAATCCAAGTGTTCTTTCCTGCTCCATTTCACCCTGTGCAGATGCAGGTGCAGAGTGGCTCCATTTGGTGGGGAGCGGCGGATGGTGATGGGGTGGGAAATACAGATAGAGACTTAAGGAAATAACAAATGACAAGTAAATTTCACCAGCAGGGACAATTAGAAGCAGAATGAAAAGGGTCACAAAGATGAAAACTGTGGAAAATCCTCACAAGGTATAATGTAAAGGGGTAGAAAAACTGAAGTTGCCATTATACAATGAGTATTTTCTTCATAGGTGTAGGTACGTTTAGACTGTTGTGTTGAAATACAACTTAAAGAATGAAAAAGCCACGTGAGCATAAAAGTCACCATTTCAGTTACAAATTCCCAAAATGACAGAGAACAAAGGCAACTTTCCTCAGGAGCACTGATTTTTCTACCTTCTATCATCTTTTGATGCTAAGAATGAAAAACAGAAGATGTAAATAAAAGTGGTATTTTACTCTGATCGTAACATACATAATGGAGACAACACTAAATTGGATTGTCAATTAGTGTGAGTCACTCCACCAAAATCAATTATATTACAAATTACCTACAGTGAACTTTGTTTACTAACAGAATGCTACAACATGCACCTTTAAAAAGAGAGTCTGTCTTTTTTACTTACACTTATAACCAAAGAAACCTTTGGGCTTCTTGCTGTCCAACGGGATAAATGTTCCTATGACGAAATCAGCAATAGCAAGTAGTAGAATCACCAAAAGAACAATTTGAGCCTGGAATTTTAAACATGAAAAATCAAAATCAAATCTCTCATGTCTCTACGCTGATTTAGTTTCACCCTCGGATAACTTCTGTGACTGAAGAGATTTGTCTTGTTTTCCCAGTGCCTCAAAAAGCTTTTTGAGGTGCTCAGTAAACTTATACTACATAAGCAATCTTTAAAGAACTATCCTAAAATGTTCAGTATGCTAGCGAAAAAATGGATAGCATAAGTAGGATCATGCCAAATATTTCTGAAATGAATTAAAGATGTGCATGTCATCCCACAAATCATAAAGCCCCATACATTCCACAACACTGCAGGCTTTTCATCCTTTATCATTATTTACTGCCCCCCTCTGATGGAAGTACAGTCTTGACACAGGGAACGTATTTGCTACAAACACAAGTTTTACACCGAGTCCAAACACAATGTTGAATGTCTGACAGCCACAGGAAAAGAAGAAGTGTACCAGTACAAAAAGAGAAAGACAATTTGCAGGAGGAGGACTGAATTAGTAATGGGACTGGAAGGAACATCTATGAGAACTGCCATCTCTCCTCCCGCACGCTTCTTGTTTTGTTTGTGAGATATAACGGACATGTAACAATCTATCAGTGTCTGGGGTACCACATAACAATTCAATATTCACACACATGTAATTGTAAAGTGATCGCCACGGTAAGTCTAGTTAATATCCGTGACCATACATAGTTTAAAATTTTTTTCTTGTGATGAGAACTTTTAAGATCTACTCTTTTAAAAAAGCAACTTTCAAATATGCAATACAGTATCACCTATAGTGACCATGCTGTGCATTGTATCCCCATGACATTTATTTGATAACTGCAATCTTATACATTTGACTCCCTTCACTATTTTGCCCCCTTCCCCTGCCTCTCCTTCTCCACTCTTCACCTCCCAGTAAAGTTAGGCAGATATTCATTCATGAAAACCTGTGTCATCCATGAGAATAAAAACTGCTTAAATGCTAATCCAGTCCCAGGTAGGATGAAATTCTATTCTTTTCAGTTAAGTCAAATGGTTAAAAGTATAAGTAAATGATTTAATTATATGCTAATTATATACTAATGACTTAAAAAACAACTTTGGGAAAATTATTCTTTCCAACTTGCCTAATTTTTGATCTGATAAATATTTTCGTGGCTCACATACAGCAGAAATATAGGATCTTACACAATTTATAAAAGGAAACATGACAACACCTAGAGGGGACTTGGAGATCCTCAGCAGGATCTTTGTGGATATGCTTTAGTCAGGAAAGCAGAGCTGTACTGAGGAATATTCTCTCAAAGGTGGAGAAATAATGCCAGGTGTTCTGCCTACAAGTTAACATGTGATTTCAGCAACCCTTCCCAGAAACAGTGGTCCTGGCTTTGGTAGCCATGATTTCTGACACTTCAACAGCAAGGAGCAAGACGAGCTTCTCTAATCTCTTATGGGCACTAACTTGAAGTTTCCTGCCCCTGTATTTATTTTTGAAATTGAACTGTTAAATAAATTACAAAGCCAAAACTTTAATCTGGGCTACCTAACATACTGACCTGAGTGATTCTAAATAACTTGAATCAAGATTAAGGGAGCAGAGGGGAAAGGAAGGGGGGGGAGGGGGCAGGAATCCAAAGTTAAAAAGTACTGGGGTTTTTTTTACAGAGAGAGAGCACAAGCAGGGGGAGCAGCAGAGGGACAAAGAGAAGCAGGCTCTCCTCTGAGCAGGGAGCCCGATGTGGGGCTCCATCCCAGGACCCTGGGATCATGACCTGAGCTGAAGGCAGATGCTTAACTGACTGTGCACCCAGACGCCCCGAAAGTACTGTGTTTAAGTGGATGCTAGACTGACTGCTATCTGTAAACATTCCTTGCCTTGTCAGATAGAAAATAACCTGATACACAAACTTCTCTGAAAATGGCCACTGAAGCAATCTTCGAAATCTAAAAATATTACCGCACTTTAGAGTGGTCCCTAAACAAACACTCTAAAAGTTCGTATGTTAAATATGTACAGATATTCCAGTGAGTTTATTACTTACTTTTGCTTCCCACTCCATTCCAGCCACTGAGATACCTAAAAGGATCACCACGGTAATGGCTCCAATAATTCGAATATCATTGATTTCATCGATCATAAGTATGGAATGTTCCTAGAAAAAGAGAATTATAAACGTAATGAGCAATTTCAGTTATTCAGATAAGCTCTTTAATTCTTTTGGAAACATTTCAGAGACATCAGAATCTCTTACAAGAAGAAGTGGAATAAATACCTATGTAAGGAATGAAGAGGAAGGCCTAAGAAAAAGGAATAAATAACTATGTACTATTGAGGCACCATTCAAAAAGCTCAAGACATCAAAAATAGGATCAAATTAATAAAGGCTATATTTAATACAGACTCAATAAATCAAAAATGAAATTGCTAACAAGCAAATAAATCATAATATGCCTAAGCAGGGCTCACAGTTAGTATTTTTTAAAGAAATATATTTTGTATTACTGTGATTAGCAAACTCATGCTTTTAGTGGTCTTTAATGTTCTGTAAGAAAAAGAGATGAATACATGTTCATGCAGTTGTCCAAACACACACACTGTTCCCACGCTAACAAGCAAAACTATTTGTGGTTTAATATCAATGACATTAAAAACATGCTAAATTAAATAACAAAAGAATAGTAACCATTAATAGTTATACTGCTTGCTTTCTTACAGCCCTTGCTTTTCCCCATCCCTTAGGCCTAAACAGCTAAGGGCAACGCCAACATAGTGTCAGTCCCCCTCAGATCTTACACTTCCTAATGGACGGCATCCGAACACAGACGAACAGAGTTACAACCTAACCTAACATGAACCACTACAGGTGTCTCTCAAGGTTGCTCTCAGTTAATAATGCTGAGTCCTATTTCACTTCTACTGCTTTAACTACACACATCCCAATGACTCTTTTCAAACAAATCCTCCTCTGAATTCCAGAGCAGTATTATCAACTACTTCCTGGCCAGCTCTACTTGGATATACCTCTGGTTCTTCCAATCAGACATCCCAAACAACACTGTCTGTGCGGCCATTACCCTCCATTTAAACCTCCAACTCAGAAATCTATTTATCATATATAAGTATATATTTATATATATATATTCAGGTATATATATTTATAAATATATATTTATGTATATGTTTATTTATTCAATTTATATATTTATATAGATAACATATTCAGGTGTGTGTGTGTATGTGTGTGGGTGTGTGTGTGTGTGTGTGTGGGTGTGTATATATATATACCTGAAATCCTCCTTTCTCTTTCTCTAATTTCCCATATCCCAGTAATCATCAAGTCCACTCATTTAACATTTTAAAAATCTCTCCAGTTCACCCATGCCTCTCCAGCTACACTGGTCACTGTTTGAATGTACACCACCATCCCTTTTCCCAGGACAGCTACAACTTTCTAAGTGATCTCCCTCTCCACCTGTGATCCCACAGGTCCATGCTCTATATTCTTCTTCAAGCCCCAATCTGATCATGTCCCAGCCCCTAACTCCAACTGAGACTAAGACCCCAGTTTAAAGCAAACAATACCTTTCCTGATTTGACCCTTTTTTCCCTCTCTAGTCTTAAATCTGTTTTGTGCTACAATCAGATAGAAATATTTGCAGAATTTTTTTAGAAACCACACCGTACTCTACCCCTTCCAGGCCTTTGTTTCCTTTTCTCCCATATTCCCTTCATGGTACACCCCACCTCCCCTACCTGCCTGCTAACACCTAGACTCCCTTCCCTGGAAAACGCTTACTCACATTCCTTTGTGACCCCCTTTCCTGGGTGGAAGTAAGTTAAGTGATTACCCTTTGTGTTGCCAAGGTCTTCTATAACTACCCACTTCTGACAATGTATCACCATCACTTTATCTCTTACACTAAACTTCTTGAAGGACACGTTTTGTGTCCATCACTGCTTTCATAGGATCCAGTATGGGGAGTGGCACATAAGCCCTCAATAAAGATTTGGGAAACCAATGTCCAGAAGTAGAAATTACCTTAAGCAACTCCACCACAGTTTCTGCAAATCCAACCACATACATAGCAACTGCAACAGCATTGGCAAAAGCGAAGATCAGTCCAATTGCACCACCAAATTCTGGTCCTAGACTTCTGGATATTAAATAATATGCTCCTCCTAAAGGAGAGGAAAAAAAAACCCCAAAATACTCAAGTTAGGAATTTAAATGTCAAACAATCCTTTTAATTACACAAAAGAGTTCAGAAAGCACATGCCTCCAGTAAGCACAACTGTTATATTAATAAGCAAGTGGGTGAGCATATTTTCAGGAAGAAACATCCCAAAAGAATTCTTTACAATCCACTTCATTCATTAGCAGTTCTCAAAACCCAGAGAATTCTGCCTGTTCAAATATAAAATCATCCGGCTTTTTAATCTCTATTCTCTCTTCTAAAGCTTAGACTAGAATGGACAAAAGCCTCCTACTCCTATTCATAGATACAAATATCATCTCCTAATGATTTTCTCAGTAATGTTTTAATCTTAATGTAACTTTTAAAATCACAGTTGAGATGATTTCAATAACCTATATTGGTATGGTAATTTGTTGGTAACATGACTACTAAGACTCAAAAAAATTTCCCAAGAAATTACAAAGAACAGCAAGCATAAGGTGGTATCCTAGATACAATTTATATTTTAATAAATCCTACCTAAATGTAATAGTCAACAAGGACATTAAATGAACTATCATGAAACAAGTATTTTTCTAACTTAAATATTAATCAGTATTATGATTTTGAGTCAATTCTAATGCTTAGTTGAAATCTCTAAGAATTCTTCTAAAATTCTATTTTATTTCTGGTCTCTAGGTAATAATCCAACTTAGTTTTAGTAATAGTAAAGTTACATGAAGTTATATACATTTTTTTAGATACTGATGAACTGCTTCTTTTTTTTTTTTTTAAAGATTTTATTTGTTTATTTGACAGAGAGAGAGAGAGACAGTGAGAGGGGGAACACAAGCAGGGGGAGTGGGAGAGGGAGAAGCAGGCTTCCCGCTGAGAGGAACCCAATGCGGGGCTCCATCCTGGGACCCTGGGATCATGACCTGAGCCAAAGGCAGAGGCTTAACGACTGAGCTACCCAGGCGCCCTGAACTGTTTAATTCTTTTTTTTTTTTTTAAACATTTTATTTATTTATTTGAGAGAGAGAGAGAGAATGAGAGACAGAGAGCACGAGAGGGAAGAGGGTCAGAGGGAGAAGCAGACTCCCTGCCGAGCAGGGAGCCCGATGCAGGACTTGATCCCAGGACTCCAGGATCATGACCTGAGCCGAAGGCAGTCGCTCAACCAACTGAGCCACCCAGGCGCCCCTGAACTGTTTAATTCTTAAGACCATAAGATGAGGGACGCCTGAGTGTCCCAGTCAGTTAAGCGTCTGCCTTCGGCTCAGGGCATGATCCCAGGGTCCTGGGATGGAGCCCCATATTGGGCTCCCTGCTCAGCGGAGAGCCTGCTTCTCCTTCTGCCTGCCACTCCCCCTGCTTGTGTTTCTTCTCTGTCTCTGACAAACAAATAAAATCATAAAAAAAAGACCATATGATGAAATACCACTTAACAGCTGAGTATTTCTCCTGTTCTCCCAGTATAATAAAGACAAATACAACAAAAAATTCTATAGTTCAATAAAGTACTAAGTATGCAAACTTCATTTTGGAAATATCTGTAACATTTTTGTAGTTAATTCTATCAATTCTCTCAAAATATTCTATACTTTAAATCCATCCACCCAAAACTTCCTCAATTACTTATTTTACCAATTAATAATTTCAACTACCTTGGAAATCCTCAAGAAAAAAATGCAACCTGATCATTTGTAATGATTGGTCTTATGGTTTTTAATCAGATAAAATTACTTAGGAATTTCCCAGAAATATTTCTGAACACTAAAAAATTCTAATGGACTTATATAAGGACAAATTTTTTTTATATCAAATAAAGATCTTAGCTTAAGACATTAACTCCATTATAACTAATCACAAGGAAAATCCCTGGAATACTCTTTTAATCAAAATTGATTTAAACTATTTTATTTAATTCCAATACCAACAATGAATTATTTATCCTGACTTCACAGATGAGAAATTTAGGTCACCATGAAAGGTTAAGTGAAATCTGGGATCTATAGCCTGGCATCTGGCTCTCTGCTCAGCGGGGAGTCTGCTTCTCTGCTTCTCCCTCTGACCCTCCCCCTCTGCCCCTGCACTCTCCTGCTCTCTCTCAAATAAATAAATAATATCTTAAAAAAAAAAATAAAGAAATCTTTCAATGACTCATGTGTTTCAACAATTGACAATATAAACTTGAGAATGAGGGGAGCCTGCGTGGCTCAGTGGATTAAGCGTCTGACTTTGGCTCAGGTCATGATCTCAGGGTCCTGGGATCCAGCCCAAGTTAGGCTCCCTGCTCAGCAGGGAGTCTGCTTCGCCCTCTCCCCTGCTCCTTCCCCCCCACTTGTGCTTGCTTGCTTGCTCTCTCAAATAAATAAAATCTTAAAAAAAAAAAAAAAAAAAAAAAAAACTTGAGAATGAGCAACATCACCAATAGGACCTATAAAAACAAAGAATTCATTCATGATATACTTTAGTTTGATTTCAAGTCTTTTTATTACTAAGAAGAAAAAATATGTATCTTAAGGTACATTGAATATGGCAAAACATAATGGGAAGGGGAAATTCACCTTGGGAATGATGAATATATGTAGGCAAATTCTGACATTTCAGAACTATTTTTAAATCTTCTACAATTTAAAATATCTAAACCTTAAAGCCTCACACCTAGTTTTGTTAATTTTTAAAAGATTTGTATTTTTTTCCAAGAAAATAAAGAGGGCATGGATAATAAAGAATAAGAGTATCTGCTAATCTCGCTACATTTTTACTCCTGATGAAAAGCATTCTCTGCCCTGTTTCTTTCACTTCTATTTCTGCTTCCTAGAGACAACCAGTTTTAAAAGCAGTTTTCCTTTGTTTTTGGTTTTCATCAAAATCAAAAGATAGTATTAAAGACCTACCACTTGGAAAGACTGGTCTGGTATTTTTACCAGCATAAAGTAGGTATTTATCTTGAATAGAAAATTTCTATTTTGTTAAAAATTACATTTTACTTAATTCTAGCTAAATACTATTATCGTTCCCATTTTACATATGAGAAAATGAAGGCTTAGAGAGGTTAAGTAAGTTGACCAAGGTCATACAAGCAGCCAGGGAAGAATTGGGCTTAAACTCAGGTCTGGCTCGAGTCCTTATCATACAATATGCATGACAAAAATCAGGCTTTTTGTTATTATTGAAAATGGCAACTAGAAGGATGAAGAATTATGAGTGATTAAAAGGCATCAATAGACAACAGTAACTACTTTCTTTCAAAAAAATCTATTTGTCAAACAAACACAGATGTTAATGTTGAAAAAAAATTCTTCATGGGGTTTCATAATATGGCCATAAACTACCCCAACTTCTGAGTGAGTGTAGAGGACAAAAATGAGTCAGATACCAAAGTACTGAGTAATGATACTACATACACTGGGTTCCATTTTTATTACATATTGATTTGGGGATATATGTCCCTATAGCTCTTGCTAAATTTCACATCAGTAACCAAAACCCTGACTAGGTTAATCAAGAGCCTAAGATTAAAAATGGATTATTGGCCATAAAATAAGTGTAACTTTCAAAGATCTGAAATGATACAGTGAATATTACTGACCACGAAATAATTAAATTAAATGTATGGAAGATCCCTAATATCTGTAAATTATGCAACATATTTTTAAGTAACCCATTGATTAAAGAATAAGCCACAGGGAAGTTAAAAAGTATTTTTAATGAATGATAATGAAAATACAACATATCAAAATTAGTGGGATATAGCTAAAGCAGAAATTCTAGAGGGACTCATTCAAATGTTTGTATTAAAAGGACATAAAATCAATGATCTAATAAGAAGCTAGAAAAAGAGAGTAAATAAAACCTAAAAGAGAAACAAAGTAATAAAGAACAGAAACCACTGATACAGAAAACAATAAAGGAAAATCAACAAAGCCAAAGTTGTTTTCAAAAACATTAATTGAACTGGTAGACAATGAACAAGAATAAAAAAGAAACCATAAATAAACGAAGTCACTAATGAAAAAAGGGATATACAATGATAAATCCCACAGTCATTAAGAAGTTAAAATATAATAAATTTATTGCAATGAATATGCAACTCAGATGAAATGGATGCCCAAACTGAGGTAAGAAGAGGAAACTGATATAATCCTATAGCTAAGAAATTAAACTTGTAATAAAAACTTCCACAAACACACAAACACACATTCAAAAAAACTACAGGCCTAGATACCTTCACTGAAGAAGAGGAGAAAAGATCAATTTTACACAAATTCTTTCAGAAAACAAAGGAAGAGGAAATGCTACCAACATCCCTTTTAAGATGAGCATAATCCTGACACCAAAATCTGACAAAGGTTATTAGAAAGAAAGAAGATTTCAGATAAATATTCCATATGATCATAGACTCAAAAATTCTTAACAAAATGTTAGCAAATAAAATGTTGCAGAAAGCATATCATCTCTAAGCAAGTGGGGTTTATCCCACAAATGCTAGATTAAGATTCAAAAAACCATATAATTTGTGAAAGTAACAGAATAAGGGAGGAAAACCATATAACCATTTCAGAAGATGTGGGAAAAGCATGGCAAAATTGAATATCCATTCATGATAAATATTCTCCACAATTTAGAATAACTTCCTCAATCTGACAAACGACATCTTTCTTCAAAAACCTCACAGATAACATCTTCTTAGTTGTGATATATTGAACTTATTCTACCTAAGAAAGAGAACAAGGCAAGGATATCTATTCTCATCACTTCTATTCACCACTGTACTGGAAATACTAATTCAACAAATGAAAAAGAAAGAAAAAAAATCCTAAAAATGGCTAAGAAAAAGTATAAGCCACATCTATTCACAGATGACATGTCTGTTTATGTTTATCAAGATCACAGAGCAATGGTGTCAAAATACAAAAGTCTATTTTACTTCTCTATGTAAGAAACAAAAACATGGAAAATAAAATTTACAAATACCATTTATAACCAAAGAATATG